CTTGATTTTTCATATTCTTTAATTGCTAGCTTAAGCTCATTAAAATTGTTAAAAATATCTCCTACATTCATTCTATTAACAATCAGCGCGGATAATACTAACGATTAAGTCGTTTAATTGTAAGTAAATTTTATGTATCAGAAGCAACTTTTGAATCTTCAACCATATAAACTGGTAGACACGCTGTAAGTTAAATATTTTGAAGCCAACATCTTCTAGCGCGTGACGTCACGTTTTGGCAAAACAAAACGAAATAAAGCTTTAAGAATAGAAAACTTTTTATTAAATGTAAAATTTTGTAGTAAACCTTATTACTATTATTATTATTTTTTTAAATATTAATAAATTTATCATTTGTATCAATTATTATTTTAATGCATTTTTAGATTTCTTAGATTAGAAAACGTAACAGTTAATACAATTTTATGTATTTTATTATCCATTTCATTAATATACAAAATAACTTTTTATTGATTCGAAAATTAAATTTGTTTTGTTAATACACTTTGCATACGTTTATTATGTAGTAAATTGTTGATCAAGTCGATTTTGTGGTGCAATCTTATCTTTAAATTCTAAGCAATACTAGTTTTATAATTTCTTCGCCACTTTCATAAATAAATTACAGACAATGTTTAACAATATTTGTTTTTTCACAACCACCTAAACTATTAATTAAAAATTATAAATCAGGAAGTTTCCAACGTCCATTTATACAGTTTACCATAAAAACTAAAGTTTCTTTTGTTTTGGGTTAACTATTATTATTGATATCACCACAAAAATCAATATAACCAGAAAATTTATGGCCTGTCCAATTTTTTATCAAATGGCCATTTCATCTAACATAAATGAACACACAATATGTTGACCAATTTTCTGAGCCTCTTCTATTTTGCTATGAAAAGTAACTAAAGCTTCTTTAAGAAATCCAGGGAAACAGTCAACACTTTTATGCCATTTTGTATGATTCCAGGATGAAGAAGTGCATTACTAAATGTTTTCCTAACATAACTTTATGCTTTAGTAGAATAAAAATTTAATGTTAAAGCAAGGTTGTTAACAAGACCAAAATTAGCAACGCCAAAAGTAGCAAGGACATGGCCAAAGCCACATGTTACAAGGCTAAAGCCAAGACCAATGCCAAAAGTTACAAGGTCAAAGCCAGGAATTTTAAAGTCAAGGCCAAGAATAAAAACATTTTCAAGCCCAAAGACTTGAATTTTTGTCTAACGTTAAGGTCAATTATTAATAAAACTGTAGGTAACAATTCCTGTGACAATAAACCACATGTTTTAAAAATAAACCAGGGTTATGCCCAAAACTCTATGAACTCAATAAAAAACATACTTGTAGATATGTATGAAGCTGAAAACAAAAATACATAAAAATAAAGAATGAAATCTTTTAATTCTTCAATTTTATGTACTTTTTTTGAAGACCAAGGCCAAGACCAAGACCAACAGTTTTAAGACCAAGGCCTTAAGTCAAGGTCAAGGCCAAGGACTAACAACTCTGTGTTGTAGCAAAGCTTCATAATTCTAGTGGGTAATGCTTTTTAACTTTTCTTGTAAAATCCGACAAAATAACTGATTTGTAGACTCAGACATAGCTCTCTAAATAGATTAAATAAATACATTTTTAGTTACAACATCATATTTATACTTGAAAACCCAATCAAGTAAAATAGGGCATCGTTGATTGGGGTATCAAGAAATAGATGAAGTTATCACAATAGCATTACAATCATAACAACAACTATTACTGTTACGACAAACACAATAATTAACTTATTGCTATTCTTACCGTAATTGTGATGAATTAAAATTTTCCTTAACTGTTATCTGATGATTAATGTAATAAGTTTTTAATCATAAAAACTTACTAATTTAAAACCATATTTTAACAGTAAGTTGACTAAAACAAAATAATTCTAAAGGTAAAACTTAATAAGAAATAAGAAACAAATATTTAAAATAATTAAATAGACAAATAATATAAAATATGTTCAACAACTACTCTTAATAAAAATATATATTATACCATTAGTGTAATTGATACTGCTTCAGAAATCATAGTATGATTCATGATTTTGATTCATACTTTTTGATTTAAAATGACGAAGGTATGAATGTAAATCTTTAATCATTTTTATTAAACAACAGTTGGATTGCTGAAGCATTTTAATTGTCTTTTGTTTAGCAGCATATATATATATATATATGTATATATATATATATATATATATATATATATATATATATATATATATATATATATATGTATATATATATATATATATATATATATATATATATATATATATATATATATATATATATATATATATATATATATATATATATATATATATATTTAGTATTCCATATAAAACCTAGATGATTAAGTTTATCATCCAGTTTTAATTGTTGGTAGTCGATTGTTATCGTGTAGTTTGCAATTTGTTTTTTTCCAGTAAACAAGAACTCGGTCTTATTAGCATTTAACTTAAAACAATTTGAGTTGGTGTATATATTACAAGCTGCTATAAGCATTTTTATTCCAGACAGGGTAGAATTAAGAAGAATAATGTCATCAGCGTATCCTATAACACCTGTGTAATTTCCATAAATCGATGTCCCTTCGACACTTTCATTTTGTATGGTATCAAGTAGGCTTTGAGTATATATATTATACAGGTGAGGAGACAGAATCGATCCTAGTCTCACCCCCTGTGTTAGATAAAATGGATATGACTTGCATCCTAGATAAATGACAGAGGCACTGCTTTCATGGTTCAATGACGATATAGTATTAATAATTTGAAGCGGTAATTTTTTATTATCGTATAGCTTCTCAAATAAAATGTCCCAGCTACAGCTGTCAAATGCTTTTTCAGCATGAAGGGAACAGAGATAGACAGGTGAGTTGTTGTTGTAATGTTTCAGTTTCACAATTTCGGCACGTAGGGTTGAACCCTAATTAAAGCTGTGGTGCTATTTTTTTTTGAATTTCTGTTAAATAAATTAATACTATATATTAAAACTTGTATATTTTGTTTTTTATAAAAATTATAAGCCATTTTACTTTTAAGGTGGTTATCAGGTAAAAAAATAGCGATTTTTGTGAAAAAATGTGTTTTTTAGTTTATCAGCCAACTTTGTTTAAAATTTAATTGGCTTTTTAACCATATATAACATGATATGGGTTAATTAATAAAAAAATGTAAAAAAATTGTTTTAGTTGGTAAGAGTAAAAAAAATTTACTTAACAACCGCATAGCAACCAATAATTTTTTATAGATATATTACCCAAAGACCTAGATTTAAACAATTATTTCTTTTCATGGGTCTGTATAATTAACTAAACTTTTGAACCAGAGTTATTTTTAGCAAAGCCGTATGTTTTGATGTTATTTGTTAAGCAGAAAGAAAAAAGTTTAAAGTTGTTAAAAATAGTTTTATTATGGCAAAGAATAAAAGTTTTAAAAATAGAAAAGTTAAACGAGTTTTTCAAGGTAATAGATATACTAAGAAAACAGTTGAGGTTTTTTGCAACAGCCTTCAGCTGTAATAAATTACAATGATGGTTTGAGAGGTTTCACAAGAATTTTTGATTATTTGCAGCTCTTGCCTGGAAGTTTTATGATCCAAGGATCGTGGAAGAAGGATGTATCAAGAGTAAAGAACACGATTAAAAATTCAACTCCAAAGCAAAAAAGGGCTAGAAGGAAAAGGAGATGTATCAGGAAGGGTTATATTGATAAGGAGAAAGAAAAAGAGGGAGTAGACTCTTATATTACAGGAAATTTTTAATTAATAAATTGTTTTTAAACTTTGAAGCTTGATTTCTCAATTGGTTGTTTTTGCCTGACTGCAATAAGCGAATCATTCATATCTTTTTAACCAGATATGCAATTGAGTTCAAATTTTCAGGGTTGTTTCTTTATAGATAGAACTGCAATAGCTTACTAGAACTAATCTTAAGCTTGTTTCCATTTGAATATATTCATATTTTCCCTTTTTTTTTTGTATCAATAATTTCCGTTAAAATTGAAAAAGCTGCCATTTTAAAAATAATAATTATTTTTAGTTTTTCTAGTAAGCTTTAATACACTATAATCTATCAGTGTTGTAAGTTTTGGCTTATAATGTCATAAAGAGGCTGAGAAAATGTTGTTTTCTTTTTTCATTGATTTTTTTTGCATTTTATGCTGATTCAGCAAAAAAAAAAAGAGGAAATAATTTTTTTTTTATCATTTTTAATTATATTAATAAGTATGTTTCTTTTAAACTAACTTTGGTATATGATTAAGTTGGCAATCAAAAAATAATTTTTTTACCTGATAACCACCTTAAATATGTATTTAAAAGATTATTCAACTATCAAAAATAGTTAAAAGTTCTAATTTCAGCCAATTTTTGGTGGTGGTGCTATTTTATTTTTCACAAGTGTATAATAATCAAAAAAATCCACTAAGTCAAGCCCACATACTATTTTGAAAAACATGTCAACTTTTAGATATTTTCGTTCGTTGTTTTATTTCGTTTGTTGTTTAACTTTTTGTTATTTATTTTAATTTGAAATTGTTAAATAATAATTACAAAATTGGGCACACCATCCTTCATAATAAAAATCCGGTTTTCCAATTTAAAAAAAACTAAAAATCGATTTTTTGAAATTTTCTGGTTTTTGAAAAGCACTACAGTGCAGTGGGGCTTGTGGTAAAAATTAAAATCAAAAGCCTGTCATCGGCTTGCGATAATAGAAGGGTTAAGAATCATCATAACATATAAAATAATGAGGAAATAAACTCATTAGTTAATAAAATACCAGTTTTCGCAATGAAAAAGGAATTAGAACCCAAAAAGCATGTTTATAAAGGATGAGAAATCTCATAATAAAAAACTAAAACTTAAAAAAGTAAACAAAAAAGTATCACCAATAAAGCTAATAAACCATCAAGTACCACGTGTTAAAAAAAATTAAAGATATTATTCTTTGCATATTTGTTAATATATCAAAATATATATTCATATTTATCTTTTTTAAATATGAAACTCCATTTAAAAGGAATATCTATAGTTCGACTTAAACGTTAAGCTTATTTTATCGGTTTATTTACATTGTTTTAGGGAAATAAAAATATACATATGCCATATTTGCCACCATGCATTGTGATCGATATATCTAGACTTTTAATTTTCGAAGTCAATTTCCGTCACTGCTTTTCTTATCGTCGTCATTATTATCACTTTGGTGCTGATCTTCACCACTTCCATTATTTTCACGATTTATAGATGGCGAGCGACTACACGATCTAAATATAAACACAATGATCATATTCTGATCATACTTGAAAAATATTGAAAATTATTATAAAAAAAAAAAAACGGAATTTTTTTAAAGCACATCATCTTAACCCTAAAATACCAAAAGCAGTTTAAAAGACTCAAAAAAATCTTACTTTAAATACAAATAACTCTTATGGCAATAAGGGTTATTTGTATATTGTTATAGCAATAAATACAAATAACCCTTAAGTTAATTGCAGAAAAAAATTTGAGGCAAAAAAATTATGACTAGGCACTTTTTAGAGTAATATCAGATATGATACAACGGATAATTGTTTATAAAAATATTTATATTAAACATATTACATATAAACTAGACATATTAGCATATTCATAAAAAGATTATGAATGAAAAACTTCAAAACAGTTTCTTTCTTCCTTAAAACAAAGCCATGCATTACATTTTTTACAACTTATATATGAAAGTCCTGACTTACAGGACAAACACCTTTTTTCATTATAACTTGGCACATGATCAAAGCAATCCTTTCTTATATCATTGGAAGGATTTCCTTGAACCCGAGCACACTTTTTAAGAGGTTGTACAGTATTATCTAAAGATGGTCTGCCAAAAGATGTTACTTTGATCAGACTCTCTGTAACTTCTGCAATAAAGCATTGCAATTGCATAAATTTAGTATCGGTTATACAAATCTTTAAATCGCGTCGGTACAAAAACCATGCATTAACAACAGCAATCTGAACTGTATAAAACAAAATATAAATGTACCATCTTCGTATTCTTAATCTTGGCTTGTACAATCCCACATCATATCTAAGTTATCTATTCCCCCCATGTATTGGTTATATACACGAACAATGTTGCACTGTTTTACATCAATCTTTTTTTCTAACGAACGATCATATCTCCAAACAGTGTAAAGTGGTTAAATGCTTACATATGAAGAAACTAAATTAACTGGTTTGTTATCATACCATCAAACTGCAACCACATTTGATTCTTGCTCAACTCGAAAATCATAGGCTTCTCTGCCTTGCTTTTTCAAATCATTTTCAAGCATTAATGGACATTTCTTCATTCGTTTATCTTTTGTTCCTACATATTAGATATTACGTTTCCTTTATTCAACAATAAGGTGCAAGCTTGTAAAGTAGTTGTCAGCAAAGACTTTGAAATTGTATTTATCAGGAAGTGAAGACATCAAATTAATTAAAACATCTGCACTGACACCTAAACATGTATCTGAATTGTTTTTCGACTTCCCTTAATAGATATCAGTCATACAAAAAGCCTGAAATGCCACTTTGACCCTAAAGCTTGAATCCCCACTTGTGGGTTTTATTTGACAAGTACTGACGCAAGAGAGACTTTCCTTTAAAAGGAACCAAAATCTTATCAACAGCATGGTACTCTTCCGGTGAAATGTTTTGAAAGTTTTGCCTTAGCTGTTGTCCATGTTCGTAACTTCCAAACATGGTCATCTGCTTTTTTTCCTTAGATATTTCCAAGTTGTTTACAAAATTAATATTTCAAAGTATAGTTTCAAATTTATTTATTTCTATAATAGAAGAAACTCCGTTGTAGCTCATGTCTCCCAATATGATCTTTGACTTGAAGCTTTACCAAACCCATTCTGAGATAAGCACCTTAAAACTTCTCAATATCCTTTTTTGAGATATTTTTCTCTGAACCTTTTGATTGCAGAATATAAATATTACTTTCATTTGTGATGCTGTTTAACATATTATCACTAACAAACAACTAGAATTATTCAAAGTGTGTTGTTTCCACATTTGGTGCTAATTTCATTTCAGGCTCCTTGAAAGTTACATCATCAAGGGGTTCAAAGTTCCTACTTTTCCATTTGTAAGTAATTGGTTTATTCTTATTGAGGTTATTAGTTGTCTCTTTAAGATTCTTAGATAGTCTTGATGCTATGTTTGCTAAAGGTTCACTGTCACTATCTTCTTCGATAGCAGTGTTGGCTATATCATTTACATTATAAAACTCATTATCACTTTTATGTGTCATTAAAATCGTTATCCCCATCAAATACATAGTTTAAAACATTGGGTATAGTTATTTATTTTTTTTTCTATTCATCTAGAAAAACATAAATAAAAACTTAAAAATAAAGATAAACAAAGAACTTCTCACAAGGCTTTATACTGGAAAAACCCGTTGTATCAAAGTTGATACATACAAATTCAGTAATCAATATTTATGCAAATTTGATTAAATAAAAAAAAAAAAAAACACGTAAAGTTTTCTTTTACCTTTATTATAAAAACTAAAGAAAATAAAAATCATTCAAATTGATATAACCAACACAAAATAAATCCAGAAACAACACTTGGTGAACACCACATAAAACACTTTTAACATGTGCTATTTTAAAATATTTATTATATGAAAATTGACCCGGATGAAAAGAAGTGTTTTATACGGAACTGAAAACTATTTGTTTAAAAAATACTATGGTTTAAAATAAGTGTATCAGATCAGATACCTGGGGTCATTAAGGGTTAAAGCTTAAAAAAAGCTTTCTCAATTTTTTAGAACTTCTTGTTTTCTGTTTGTGAATGGCATGGAAAGTTGGACAAGAAAAAGAGAACATGTTTTTATGGCAAAAATATTAAATTAGTATTTACAAAACCATTTTGAAAAAAATACTAAAAATTGAAAGAAACATACAGAATTCAGGAAAATGTAAGCAATGTATTACTCAATAGAAATATCTATAAACCATATCAACTCATAAAATCACTAAACTATCAATATATTTTAACACTAAGATTGAGGGAACCACAACAGTTAAAGAGAATTTAAGATTAAAGAAACCACAACAGTTAATTTAAGATTGAGAGGAAACATATATAAAGACATTGGTTGAAAATGTCATAAACCACTTGGAACGGTATGGTTTGTTAACAAAAGAGCCAGAAGAATGTGATGAAAATCGTTCCGAAACGATAAAAAAGAGCTTTGTTGGAAACGATATTATTTCTAAGTCAGAAGACATCGAAAATGAAAAAATTACACATTGGAGATTGTTTTCAATGTTGTCACTTGATTGGACACTATCCAATTAGAAACTGGCTCAGAATTGCCTGCAGTTTTACAAAACATTATAGTCAAGGAGAAGCTTGGGATGACCTAATAGGACATCAAGCACAGTCATGGTTGGTTGAAATATTGCGCCGTTTGGAAGCTAGTGATCCTGTAAATGGGACATGGAATGCTTATGGTATTCAAAATGGAGCAATATTGTGGTGTTATGCTAGTAGTATTGCAATGGGTGTTGCAATCGAATATAACATCGTAATAGTTGAGGATGCAGCATGGCTACGAAGTACAAATGATGTTATGCATATTAATATGGCTAATTTAGATGCTGTGGTGCATGGAATAAACCTAGCTGTTAAGTGGGACATCAAGAACCTATCGATATTTACTGACTCAGTAACTGTTCATGGATGGTTAAAAAGTGAGCTGACTGAAAGTCATAGGGTTCGGTCAAATGGACTATCAGAAATGTTAATCAAACGAAGACTTTATTGTGTGATTTAATAAAGGAATACAGTATGAACATCATAGTGAAGTGGGTTCCGTCTTGTAAAAACAAAGCAGATGTATTAACAAGAGTTTCAAAAAAGTGGTTAAATGAAATTTCACGAATAAATGTTTAAGAATTATGTGGGGTAAATATTGCTGATGAAGTTCGTAAATGTCACTCAAAACATCATTTTGGCGTTAATTGAACTATGCTTACAGTACAACAAAGAATCTCGCAAGTGTCAAGAAAAGACGTTAAAGACTGTGTGCGCTAATGTCGTCAAAGTAGTTCAATTGATCCAGCACCAATAAAATGGGAACATGGAGTGCTAGATGTACCAGATGCATGGTATCATATTGCATGTGACATTACTCACTATAAAGGGTCACCGTACCTATAAATGATTGACTGTGAACCAAATTGAGTTGCAGTATGGAGAAAGATGCTACACAAAAAGTATATTAATTCAATTGGATCGGTATTTAGGGAGCATGGCCCACCACACGAACTATTGATGGACAATGGAGCTGTGTTTAGATCAAATGAGTTGTCAAACATGTGTGCAAAATGGTGTGTACAAAAAATGTATAGATGTGCATATAGACCATCAGGAAATGGAATCGTGGAGCATAACCACCGCACAGTAAAACGCACATCTGTGAGGGCACAGATATGTCCGTTACAAGCGGTATTTTAGTATAACACCAATGATTGGAACGCAAGAAGACTCTACACCTGCTTCTCTAAAAAATAAGTACGTCTGGCATCTACCTATTCACAACACAGAAAGTCACGAAAGACCAAAAAAGGACTCGGCGACCTATAGAATTAGAGAACAAGTTTATGTTTGTCCTGTTGATGCAAAGTGTACAACGACTTGGAAAATTGGTAACGTGACCAATATAATCTCAAAAACAAATATTAAAATTGATGGTGTACCACGACAGGTGAGAGACATGAGAATGATTCCTGAATCATATGGTGAGAAAGATTCAAGAATGAATAGTGTTGAAGAAAATAAAAGCAACGAAAGTGAGTTTGACCATTTACATATTGCAAGAGACGAGGAAGTTGAAGAGTCAGTTGCTGACGAAGAAAATGACAGTATTGAAGTCATGGATAATTTATTACCGTTGCTCAGACATTTGACTAGAGAACAGAGAAGGCCGACATATTTTAATGACTATTAGCCTTGAGAACTTAGTTCTTGGGGAGATGTTAATAACTAATTTGTAAACGCTATTATAATTTAATAGCGTTTACAAATCCTTAGTGTAAATATATCGTAATTTCGTTTTTACTTTTGTTTGTACATAATTATCTAAAGGGAGTTTTTGAAAAATGTATAAAAATTGTAAATAGTATGAAAAAGAACAGAGTTCTTAAAAAGTAAAGATAGTTGTCGTTTTACATATATCATTATTATATCATGCTATATCATATATAAATAGAATACAAACTGTGAGGGTTTTATTAATGCGATCAAAAAAACACAAAAACTATAAATAGTAAGATTATCATTAGAACATTACATGGTACCAGAAGTAAACCTGTATTTAAAATAAAATTGAATAATTTAGGCCATTAGATGTTATGAATTAATGAATTTGATTAAATGTTTCAGAGAAATGACGAAAATGGAAGCAGAGAATTTTTATAAAATAGCTTAAGGAGTTCTATATGACGATAATTTAAGGAGTTCTATATGACAAGAATGAAGATATTTAATAAGCAATTCCTTCATATAATTGGCAAGACCACTTTAAGAATAAATGACACATTTATTTTCACAATTAAAGAAAACAATAAAATAGCACCTTTAGGAAAACTGAGTATGTAAATCCAAAATCAATCATTTTGCTACTTTATTTTGATCAAAAGGAAGCCAACTTTAACATTGCAGAGCTCATTTATTCAACATTGCAGAGTTAATTTACTATTAAACATTGCAGACATTTACTATTAGGAATAGTGTGTGGAATGAGCTCAACATTATTATGTTGAGCTCATTGCATACACTATTCCTACAGATCTATTCCTGAAAGACCTCCTCTTAAAAAAAACAATAACTAGACTAAAATCATATGGCGGATATAAAATTCCTGACTTTTTTTTTTGTTTTTATTATTCCCTGATGTAAAATCATTTTTAGTCTAAAATTCAGCAAATCACTTGAAATACTAAACATTAACAATATTGAAATTAATAAAGCTAACATTTTAAAACATGTTGAAGTTTTTACCCACTTTAGTTTGCAACTGCGACATGATGGTTAAAGCTAACTAACATGTCGCAGTTGCAAAAAACGCAGTCCCAGTCATTCATGCATCTGGGAAAGTACCAATGACTGTCCTACCTAACCCTAAAGGCATACTTGACCATCTGGTAAAAGCCACATATCTCAAAAATTCTTAAATGACAATGGTCATTATTAAAAAAAAAAGGACGGGCCCTTAATATTATGTATCAATCCAAAAGAACAAAACAAGTCTCTTTTAAGATAATACAAAACCACTTCATCTACAGAAGAAATCTCTAGCAAGTTTTGAGGCAATGTTTATACAGTCATAGACATGGTTGATTGCTATTGGCATATAAAACTAGATAAACCATCCTCAGAGCTATGCACATTTAACACTCCTTATGGCCAATACAAATTTAACCACACGTCGTTTGGCATACCATGTGCATCCAATACTGCCCAGGAGATGCTTGAACCAAACTTCGGTGATATCCCTAATGTTCTGGCTATTCATTATGACTCGATTATTGCAGCTAAAACAGATGTAGAGCATGATAAAATTTCTAAAAAATTCAACAACGACCGCATGAGAAACATCAGATTTAACTTTAAAAAAATACTATTTCAAGAATGAAAATACTGAGAAACTTGAGAAAAGTGCTATGGAAAAAATTAAAAAGATTGTCATTTTCTCGTGTACTCTCTGCCTTTGACAAATCAAAAAATTTCCAGACACTGGAAATTTTTTGACAAATTTTCCAGGTAGACACATCTTTATATGGATTAGGAGCCTGTATCATGCAAGGCCATTTGATCATCTATACCTATCGTAGCCTAACCATGGCATTCATATTTATATAGTATCAAACTATAGTATCAATTTTTAATTTAAAATTATTTTTAGAACATTACAAATGCATGACTAACAATAATAAAACAATTAGTTTTAAGCCCATTCCCTGATGTTTAAAAGCACAACAAACCTATAGAGTTTTCTAAACTCGCAGAAGATCAAAAAATCTTTCATGTCTACAGGTAAATTAATAGCCTGAAAATTGCCACACATAAAGAAAAAACAAATTACATTAAGGTTTTTAATTAAAGTACCCTATAATATTAAAGACAGTTATAGGTAATACCCTATTATGCTAAAATAATTGCTTGAATTATCCTAATGAAAATACTTCCACAATTCAGAAATACAATTTCAATTTGAATTTAATGCATATAATATTATATTATAATATATAACTATTATTATAGGAGTCTTGGTATGAATTATTTTACCTGTCACGAGAAACTGAGCGATCCTTAGATGGTGATCGCTCTTTTGAAACAGAACGAGATTTCGATTGAGAATGTCTATCTTTGGCATCAGAATTAACTTCTTTAGAGTGTGATCGTTTTTCATTTGAATTACCTTTAGATTGAGATGAAGACCTTTGATTAAGTCTTTCACGAGATGAAGACCTTTTTCTATCTCTAGAAGATGATCGCTTTCTTTCTCCTGAGCGATCTCGAGATCTTGATCTTCGTGATCTAAAAACCAGACAATTAGATTTGGAATCTTTAAAATTCATATTTGGTTTTTAAGAAAAGTTATAACTTACCTGTTTTTACTTCTGGACCTTCGCCGCTTATTTCTTTCATAGGATCTAGACCTAGACCTGTAAAGATAGTATTTGGTTACACAAAAACATTAAAAATATCACTTTAATATTCCAAAAGATCACTTAGAATCTTTGACTATCGCAACTAAAAAAATATTTCAGGGTAGGTAAAATTATTACCCTTAGTTTTTATCAAACAAGGTTAAAAGTCAAATAGATACTCAATGTTTTAAATTTTAAAAAATATATACAAGAAAAGCTAAGTTAGTAGTCAAAAGGGAAGCTGAACCTCACTAGATGTTTTAAATGTTAGAAGTTTATTTGTAACTAAATATCCATAATTTTTTTGTGGAGAAATTAACGATAAAGGTATGAAGTACTCGTAGACAACAAAAGCCTTATATTTCCTACAAATTTTATATTATCGGAAAACTTTTAAGCTATTTAAAAACTAGTCAGATTTTAACAAATAATTATAGAAGTTAATCATATAATTTTCTTTTTCTAGTGACAATTGAGTTAAGTTACAAAATATATTTGACTTTTCAACAGCTAAAAAATGAATTACAGAAAACCTAAAGAAACCAAACAGAACAAAAAAAAAAAAAAAATTTTAAATAGTTATCATGCAGTAAAATTATAAATCTTTCTATAAAATGTTTATTTCAAAAATTTTAATACAACTTCACTTTTGACCTTGATTGACTTTTAAAAATATTTTTTTTGTTAGTAATATAAAACAGGTCTAATGTTTCACATAAGCATCAAACCTTTTTAAATCTGTTAAACACAAAATTGATTTAACTAAATATTGATGAAAACAAAAAAGCATTAGAGATTTCAAGGATCAGCAAAATAATATTGAAGAGAATGTGCAAACTCTAATGTATTACAAAACAAGGCATGTTATCTTTGACTGGTTGAATTCCACAACTTTATCTAAATGCTTTTAGTCATTTATTTTAATTCTGTCTATTGTAGGCTTTTATTATTAGGCTTGACACAACAAAGAACATAAATTAGATGAAGAGGTAATGTTTTAAAAAAACTTTTAAATGCAACTGCTATCGATCAAGTGAAACAATACCTTTAAATTAACTAAATAAAGGTTAAACAAATTTTTAAATAAAAGTGCACCATTAACCCTTTAACAGTCCTGTGTATTATTTTAAATACAGTTGCTATTAGTCCAACTTTTTTGTTTGAAGTGGTCTCTTAATATCCCGTGTTTTTTTTTACTAATAAAATAGAAAAAAGTTTTTAACCTACTACTTTGAACAGTATTAAACACTAAAAAACCTTGTTATTCAAGTTAAAGAATATATAAATTATACTACACTAACAGTTAAAAAAACGAATTCACTAATATTCACTTTTTGTATGACAAATGGAAAAGCATGGAGCTGTAAAGTCTTACATTATATTCTAAAGATTCATATCTTAAATCTTTTTGAATTATGTGCTTGTAACATACCGCACACCTTCTTTGAGCATAAATCTTTTATCAATTTAAAAAATGACTTATCAAATGTATCTTTAATTATGCAGTAATAAATTTTGTGACAAGTAGACGTATTATTACTGATGAACAAAACAAAACAAAAAACAAGGAAATGCATAAAACTGTAATATTATGGCATGGACATTAGGAGACCACTTATAGTTTGCATAATATTATGGCATGGACTGTCAACAGGTAAAATAAATTAACATTTAGGAACATTAAAAAATAACCTCACTGTAGTTGTAGTATTCATTAAAAACAACATAACAACAAATAACCAATTAATTTCTATTCTTTAAAATAATATTTATGATTCTTAGACCAATGAATATTATAGCTTTTAGCTAACAAGTCAATATATAAAGCAATGCAGAGAAATTAACCAACTTTACACCACTCCCACCCACTTAGAATTATCAAACTCTATTCTAAAAAATGTCTTAAAATTGAAGTCAACCACAATTATTAGCGACTTTAATACTACTCTTACTCTTTACAAAAGATTTTGTAATTATTTTTTTTTACAAGAAGTTATTCAGTCATGACCAATTACATATACTTGAAATGTAAATTTAAGTTATTGTTAAAATTTAAGTAATGCAAATGTAAATTACTAATCAATAGTTTCATTAAATTTAATGGCAAGACATTTACCATATAGTTGCATATTTATAAAAATGCAAGAAAACTTATTTAAATAACTCAGATTCTTGTATAATTAAATATTTGTGTCATTTAACCTTGTTTGACTTTTATGTTGCAGAGCACGCGGGAATTAGTTTAAAGCCATTCCATTGGATATAGTGTTGCTTCTTTTTGCCTTAAGTTACAAACCTGGGAGCACTGTTCATGAAGCAGATTTATGGTGCAAATTATTGGATGAACATGCACACTCAGAGACTATTTTCGAACTAGACTGACGAAAGAGTGTTCTAGAAGGAATCGTAGATTTTATTTTGCAGAATTGCTGCGGATTGAATATTTTGCAGAATGGCTGCTGAGTACATATTTTCAGAATTCACTTGATCACTGATGCAAATGATGCATGTACTCCCTGATGGCGCAAGTTATAAAAACAAACAAAGACAAAATAAAAACTGTTTTATTCAACTTATAAAAAAAAAAAAAAAAAAAAGTTCTGCACTTTATGAAATGGATGATCAAAACTTAAAGTAAGGAAGATAAATTACAAAATTAAAATGACATTACCTTGATCGCCTTCTACTGCTATACCCACCATCTCTTCCACTACTACGACATTGTTTAGACAAATGACCAGTTTTCCCACAGTTGTAACACTTCTCATTTCTAATCTGCCTTCCACGACTACCACCAGTTGTTGCTCTAGCTAATTCAACTCTAATACGTGAGCCACATATTTTCTTTCCATCCATTTCTCTAACAGCATCTTCAGCATCTCGTGGATCTTCAAATATAATAAAACCGAACCCTGGAGGATTGCGTGCTACCCAGACATCTCGCAAGCGACCTATACACTCAAACTCACGCTCTAATTCAGTTCGAGACGCATCTTCTGGAAGACCTCCAATAAATATTCTAGACATTTTGCTGAAAATAACACATTAACATATACTTTATGCATTTATTCATTTATAAAAAATTGTGCGCATAAAATCATTATTAAAGGATGAAAAACTATGTTAAGCAGAATATACTAATTTTAGAAATTAGAAGAATGACTGATTGAAAAATTGACTAAACATTTCAGAAAATTAATTAAGTAAAAACATAAATATTATTTATTTCAAAATTTCTTCAATGTATTGAAATAGCAAATTTAAAATAAATAACAAATGTTTCTTTTAAATTACTTACAAAAAAAAAAAAAAAAAGCATGCAAAAATTAGGTCATTTAAAGTACAACAATTTAATGCTTATAGTTTTGATAGTAGTACTAAATATTTATCATAATATCAATTAACTGCAGTTAAAAAGTCAATTAAAAAATCTTATAAATAAAAAGATTTACATCAAGCTTTTAAAACATGCAGTCCATATATAGTTTAACAAACTTCTCTTTAGCATGTGACATGAAACAGCATGAAACATGTAAGACACAGCAAAAAAAAAAAAAGTGAAACGCTTTTTATAAAAGACTATCTACTTTTTACACAAAATTTTAACAGCTTTTTCGAATAGCATCATACTCTGAAAATAATCGACTTTAACAATGTTTATTATTTACTGTTGTGAAACAGCTAATGATCTTCATCGCTATGTTCTTGGTTATTTCCCCTGTCAGAATGATTCGATTGAGATCGACTACGGGAACTGCAAACAGATTTAAAAAGAAATTTTAAAACTAAAATTCATTAACTATAACATCTTATTTAACATAAGTATACTTACCGCTTATCTTTAACAGGTGACTGTCTTTCATCTGAAACAGATCTTTTGCGTTCTCTTGATTCACCACGAGAGCGAGATCTTGATCTTTGTGCTCTAAAATCAAAATATAGAAAATGTTCTACAAGGAAATAACAGACAATTGCTTAACTATTAATAAGATATTAGAATAACAAACAATGATATATTTAATAAAACTATATTGAAATAATTAATCAACAACAAAAAAATAAAAATAAAAAGTATGTTTCTTTTTACAACTCCAGCTCATTTATTTAAATCCATAATGTATGAATAAAATTTCTTACTGATCTCTTGATTTGCCTTTAGAAGGGGATCGTGATCTTTGACGCCTACTACTACGTTCTCGTGAGCGAGACTTGGACCTAAGAATTTAGAATGAAAATAATAAAATTATATCGCAGCTTGGAAAGAAAATCAATTTGATTTTGTGAAAAATTTGATAGCACTGAATCTAAGAATAATCCAATGATCCGCAGTTATTCACGAACTTAAAGTATGGACATGTCAATTCACTACCAGGCCCTGAAAATAAAAGGAGTTTTGATGAGGTGTGAAATGAAGGAAGTAAGCTTAGAAAATTATTCTCATAGTTTTTGGAAGAAAATTAAAAAAAAAAAAACATTAACTTTATATGATTTAGCAAAAAAAATCTGAACTATGTATTAATATATAATAGAACGTGATCTTAAATTAAAATATTTAAAACATTTAGAATGTTAGCAATTTAAAATTTTGGAAATTTGTGATTAGCAACAAAACAACCAGTATTAATAATAAAAAGTCTATTAAATAATTTAAAGCAATTATACCGATTATTTCAAAAACTGTAGTGAATACAAATATTACTGTTAAGAATTACTAACTACTTTGAACTAGTTAAGTATGACTCTAGTTTTATATAAACAATTTACAAGATATTTAAAACAAAAAACTAAGCAATAATTTGTGTAATTAGCTATATTTAAACTACTTTTCATGGTTTTACAAAGATTATAAATGTTAAGGGTATCAAATTAATCTAAAATTTACTAATCAATATTCACCAACAAAAACAACAGCAACTTTTGTTACCGTTGTTTTGTTGATAGTTAAAAAAATTAAATAAAACTAAAAAAAAAAAACTTAAATAAATTTGAAAAAAAGTGATTTTTATACTGTTGAGTTCTATTGAATTTATTGTAACCTTATCATTGTATCTTAGCATTGATAATAATATAAAATTAAACTTCCAACAAACTTATATTTCAGGGCCTGTGTGGCTGTTCCAAAATCAGTATTGCAAACTTTTGAAAACACATAAGTGAAAAAGATTTTCACTAAAACCTGTTCTCCACTAAACGTTGTTCAATTAAAATTAATTTTTGTTGTAAGTTACTTACACACCTGTAGAAACTACGCAGTTCTTAAAGTATTTATAAGTGAAGCTGGTGAAGTGCTGAGTAAAGAGTGTGTCCAGAGCACACAGTCAACTTTAGCAGTACACCTGTTGTAAATTAAGATTTTAGACTAGCTGGTGTGAATTCAAACTTAGAAGTTCATTGCAGTGAATTGAGGAGAACGTCTGACGTGAAATCAGCTAAAGGAGAATACCCAGAGAGTATTGAGCGTTGTTTGCAGTCACTGTTTTGGAGTTATGGAGATAATCACTGAAAACCAGTGGAAGTTTTTGATGTTCTGTGCAATGAAGCAATTTACATAAAACAAAAATATAAATAATTTAATTTATTTTGAAATTTTAAAAATACTATGAAAACCCAACCATGACATTTTTATCAATGTCTTATAAAAATCATGTTGGCAACAAAAAATTGTTGCTATGATATTTTCCAGAAATCTTTGATGACTATGAGTTAAAGCAGAATAGAAAAAATAATGCTAAATTTTACCTTGATCTGCGTCTACCTCCACCACCATATCCACCACCACCACCTCCTCCACCATATCCACCACCACCTCCGCCTCCACCTCTTGCACTACGACACTCTCTTGAAATATGACCTACTTTTCCACAGTTATAGCACTTTTCATTTCTACCACCACCGCCACCCTGTCTACCTTTTTGTCCATTTGATGGCCCTCTAGCCTTCTCCACTCGGACTTTGGATCCACAAACACGTTTACCATCCATTTCTCTAACAGCATCATCAGCATCTCGAGGATCTTCAAAAATGATAAATCCAAACCCTGGTGGATTTCGAGCAACCCAGATATCTCTCATTCTACCAATGTGTTCAAACTCCCTTTCTAGCTCTGTTCTGGTTGCATCTTCAGGTAAACCACCAATAAAAATTCTTGACATTTTATATATGTTCTAAAATTATTCAAATATACAGTTTAGAAACTCATAACATCACTGACAAAAACTTATAAATTCATTTTTATCAGCAGTTACAGCGTGACTCAATAACGCATATTCAAATACAGACATTGTTTTGTTAAAATTAATAAACACCTTCCCTTAAAGGTATAACATCAAAGAACAGAAATAAATTAAAGATTAAAAATTTGATTTTAAAGATATCATTTTTTTAAATTTTTTATTTGCAGAAAAATCAATAAAATTCACCTATTTCTTGTAAATTTTTTATTCATATTGGCCCAAAGCAATTGTTAAAAATCATAAATTTAAAAATAAATTTTAAAAGGGTATTTTCTATGATTCTTTAATAAATATATAAATATATACTAATAATTAACTAATTTTTATATTTTACATATTATCACACTAGTTCACAGATAAATTTGAAACAGTAAAATAAATGACATTTTAAATCAAAAATTTTGTTGATTTTACTGCAATTAAATTCATTAAATATTTAACAATTTTTAATGTTAAACACTTTTTCATATTTTTTACGTTGACTAAAAAAGCATTTAGGGTGTCATTTTTTAGGTTGTAATTTGTTTAAACTAAACCAAATCCTTGCAATAAAACTTTAAAATCAAATCAAATTTGTCTACTTTTAAACAATTTAAATTAAATCACAACTTAACTATTTAATTCTAAATCTGATAATATTTCTACACAGCATTCTTATACTGCTATGAAATACATTAAAAAACATTAAATATCATAACTTATTTAAAAACTATAGTGGTAAAATCAGATCCCTTGTTTACTATTCTAATTAAAAACTCAACTATGTTAAGTTGATACTATTATAAAGAACTTTTTAAATCTATATTTATAAGTATTATTAAAAAAAAAATTAATATATGAATATTAATATTTTTAACATAAAATTAAAAGAAAAAAATAGTTATGTCTGATATTTATATATTTTACAGTAAACCATTAAAAAGAAACTAAGTTAATATTTACAAAATTTTCATCAATAATAATGGTTAAAACTTATATAAACATCTTTGTAAAATACAATAAAATATGCTCATATTCAATTGATTGCCATCTTGAAAAAATTCGCTCATAAAGGTCAATTACTGTTACTATCATCGCCATTTACAGCCTCGTTTTGTCTAAAAACAATATTAACTAGGTTTTTATGAATAAAATTTTTATAACACACAAGTAAAATGAGTGAACAAAATAAATTTTGAGGAAATGCTTAACTATAAAGTTATAGATGACACCATACTTCCATAGGAAATAGTCATGTAGTTATCTTAAATTAAGGTTCAGTACAACAAGGTCAAATTTATTATTCAAATTTCAGTTGTAAATTGATTTAATACTCAAAACAAAGATTTTTTATCTAGTCAAAAGTCCTTTTTATAAGTCTAAACTTATTTTTTACTTAACTTTTCACTAGTTTTTTTAAAGCTGGTACAAATGTACTTAATTCAAAAAGTGTTCGTTTATTTAAAACATGATAAATTTATATATAACTATTTTTTTTTTATCTTGGTATGTATTGAGATATGAATACCAACAAAAAATCTACATAAACCTTTAAAAAAGCAAAATTTATAATTTTAAAAATGACTATTACATATAAGTCAGCCAAATGGTGGCAGGTTTCTATTAATACTCACAACAACAACAACAAAAAAATTTCACAATGAGGTTTAATAAATAAGTAACAACAAAGATCTCTGATAAGTTGTAACAAAAGATCATCTACAATCAATAACAAAGATCTCTGATAGCTGCATCAATATCATAGTTAAACTACAAAGATTTTTAAAAACTATTTGAAGCTACCTCTAAACTAAGCTTTGCTAGACGATTCTTCATCTGATTCAAAATATATTTTCTCATTATAATCGACTTCTGTTGAAGAATTAGCCCAATCTTTGGAATTTCTATACAACAATGACCCAAGAGGCAGAATTAAGAAATAAAGATAAGATGTGGGAAACAGATAAAAATGAAAAAAAAAATGCTGAAATGATTAATAACAGTTATTTGAATAAGATTTTTTAAATATTTTTAAAGAAAGTTTTAATGTTATATAAATCAACTTGGGGTGGAACTGCTAAAATTTGAAAGCTAAGAAGTGCATAATGAAAACATACTAATTTTACAAAATTTATTGCTGGATGGTTTATGCTAAAGTTTTTAATTTTCAAAAATTCCACTATGAAAGTAGAAGAAATTAGTTTATTGGTTTTTACCAAATTTATTTTTTAAATAATATAAAATGCTATGCTTTTAAGAATAAATATCTGTAAAATAATTATTTAACAAAATAAATAGGAAGTTTAAAAACAAAATCCTTTGTTACATTGAAACACAATTAGCATACTTTTGTTTAGGAGATTTTTTATTAAATGTATCATCTTGAGATGCAGATCTTCTTTTTTCTGGAGATTGTGTTCTTTTATGGTCTTTTGATCCAGATCGCGATCTTCGAGACCTAAAGAAAATTAAACCAAAACCAATTACTGTTACAGTAAATATATAAATGAAAAAAAGACAGAGTATTGCTATTTATTAAATATTTATAAATTATAAAAATTTATCTTATTTAAAGTATATGTACTTAAACTTAAGAAATTTTTAAATTATGAAAGTTTGTAAACTTATATATATAACATATTTACAGATGGTTTAAAACTTTGTAACCCTCTGATGTTCCTTTAAGTAGACTGTTTTGAGAACATTAAATGTATTTTTAAAATTTTGTTTTGCGGACATACATGGAAACATACATTCAGAACATTTATGTTAACGAATTTGAAAAATCTTTGTTTTACGGACATACATGCAAACATACAAAAAATTAAATGTTCTTAAAACATTTTGGTGCGGAATAAAGGATATTTGCGAACACTAAAAACCCGCCAAATCTACAAACAAACCAATTCTATTGGTTCAAAAAATATGCTGACTATGTGAAGTAACGTTCTAGAGTATTCTGTCTTGAAGGTTGTATTATTTGAAATTTCTAGCAATAATTTTTATAAGAATGTTATCAAACGATTATTTTAATTTAATATATTTTAATTTAATTTTTATTATTTAAATTTAGTTTATTATTTTAATACTATTGCTCATTCACAGAGATACACCTGCAAAGCCATAAACATTTTAAACTATTAATTGTTTACTAAAATAAAAGTTATGAATATATATATTTTTTAATTATCAAAGTTTTGTAAAGTTTATTATATATAATAGATTTTAATATAAAAATGTTTTTTTTTAAGGAAAATGTAATTTTATGTATGTGTTTATATATATTAAGAAAATGTTAGTTTTAGACATAGCTCATTTTGTTTTAAGATTTTTTTTTGGGGAAGGGGTCCTTATTTTTATAAATTATTCTTTGCATCACGCAAATTTTGATATAAAAATTTAGCAAAATATGTTTGCTTTTCTAAACTGCCTTTTTTTTCAAAAATGACCCCACTTATAAAATTATGCAGTAGGAGCCTGTTTTCTTAAGTTTTTTTTGTAATTGTCTCTGATTGGTCCAGTTAAATCTTTCTTAGCGCTTTTTTTTGGAAAATTTTTAAAAACTGTTGCAACTAATTGTATACGTGAAAATTTTCAAAACTGTTGCAACTAATTATATCATATGTGGTCAGGAATCGAGTGCGATCACTTCTTGACTAAGCCTGTAAATGTACTAATTTGTTCTTTTAATTTTCTTTTGGAGTCAAGTCTTTAATTTAACAAAGCTGGAGTTAATTTCCTCAAGTATTGGAAAAGTAATTGGTAACAATAGCACTTTTATAAATAAAAGTTGGTAACAGTTTCTAATTGGTTAGCAACTTTACAAGTTGTTCTTTTGATACATTGATTTTAACGCAAGAGTATTTATTTGACAAATAAAAATCATTTATCACACTTATTATCCATTTTATCACTATTTTATCAAGCTTATATTTTTTGTACAAACAAATTTAAAAAAATATACCAGCAAATCATTCATATAAACAAAATGTCTATTACAATATAAATTAAAATTGAAACAAACTAAATTATATATTTATTTAAACAAATAATTTGTAAATAATTTAATATTTTGATTTAATTTACAATAAATATCTAAACCAATGCAAGAAAATTTGTAAATGTTTGGAGTAAACTACTGTTTTATAATTAAAAGAAAAATAAGAAGGATAAAAAAAGCACCTTTCTTTACTACGAGATCGACTATATGACCTTTGACGCCTTCTATTACGTGATCCAGATCTAAAAAAAAAAGGTTAGCTCAAAATTAATATATTAATTTTAATAAAAATGAACCTAACTAATTTCATCTATATAAATTTATTTTAAGACCAGGAAAGAATAAAATAAATGACTCCATGAAATATCGCGAATTATTTTTGACTTGGTAACAAAATATAACACCAAATCAAATGGTGAAAACCATAATACATTTATGAAATTATACATGTATATGCATGCATACATATGTATACCTAATACATACATGTACAAATGTGCATACATATTTGCACAAATGTGCATACATACACATGCAGCAATATGCGGAACTTACAAAGCAAATAAATAGCAAACTTTTACTGTTTTCTTCTTAAGATCTACTTGCATTAGCTTTGCATAGTTTCATAGTAGAGCAGTAGAGCATCATATACATTCTAGTTCAAAAGTAGGAAGTAGGTTCAAAAGGTACGTTATGACATGTATAGAAGCCAATAAATAGGATGTTGTGCTGGTAAGACAAAAAGTCGTTCATGTAGGAAGCACACCAATGGCATGATAAAGTAAAATAAACAGTGGCGTGCGAAAAGTTGTTTTTGTAGGATGATGCAACTTATAAATAGACAACAGGAGACAAAATTATCATATTATACTATAAATAGTGTTTAAATTATATAAAATAAAAATTTAAATTTTATTTAGTAAAAATACTGCAACACTTAAAGAAATGAGAGCAACCAAGGTTAATTACCTTGGTTGCTCATAATACTACTTTTAAAATAATATAATCAATACTAAAGAAAACTATAAGCATTTTAAAATAAAGTTAACTTTAAATAAGTAAAAAATTAGAAATTATTTAAAACTATCCCCTAAAAAACCCTTTAAAAAGCTATCCTGACATCAATAAAATGTTCAGTACATATTCCTCATACAAACCAATGAAGCCATTAAATACAAAACAATTTTCATAATTCAAAACTTTTAAGAATTCAGAATAATTAGTTATTATAGAAAAGAATATATTATGAAAAAATATTATTTATATTACTATAATGGTATATATACAATAAATGATATACCTGGATCGTCTACGACTATATCCACGCTCTGCTGGTCTGCTTCGGCAATCCCTTGAAAGATGACCAATTTTTCCACAATTATAACATTTTTCATTTTGTGCACTTGAACGATTACGATTATTTGAATTTGGACCTCTAGCCTTTTCAACTCTAACACGCATTCCACAAACACGCCTTCCATCCATTTCTCTTATTGCATCTTCAGCATCACGAGGATCATCAAAAACAATAAAACCAAAACCTGGTGGATTTCGAGCAACCCAAACTTCACGCATACTTCCGAAATGTTCAAACTCTCTTTCTAGCTCTGTTCGAGACGCATCATCAGGAAGGCCACCAATAAATATTCGAGACATTATATATTTGTTACTATTAATAAATAATGCAATAACAGTTATTTTTAAACTTTTGAAAAACATAATTTAAAACTTCTTAAAACTTTGGATTTAATTTCAATTATTCATTAGTTATTTGATAAATTTTAATTATAATACACAATAAAAATTATAAGTTCTATTAAATAAAATCTTTATTAAGTAAAGAGTCAAAATAGAAATAACAACTTAAAAAAAAAAATTCTTGTTTAATCAGACAAATTAATAATAACAATATCAATTTATAGCAGATTTTAACGATTTTTTAATATCCAAAAATCTGATTATTTTTTACATAAACAAATTAAAAACCAGTGTTAATTGTTTTTATTTTATGCAGAAACTATGCTGCATTTAACAGTCCTTAAATCTAAAATCTACTATCTTGTCGTGCGTATGCCTAAGCATCTTTGATTGATCTCTGATTAATCATCATATCTTCATGCAACTATATTTTAATCACGATATCTTCTTTCACCACCCCTAATATAATAAATGCAAAATCTTAATCAGAAAATTATAAAGATAGAAAACCAAACAAATATAAAGGGCAAACCAGGGTAAATGACATATATTTTAAGTATGTTCATAACTACCATAGTTTCTTAAAAGAAAATAACTAAAAGACAATTATTAAAATCTACTATTAAGTAATTTTATAAATACTTTTTTTTTTTGTGGAACCAGAAAGAAACTTTACAAGTTTAAAAACAAAACTCTAACATATATTGCAAGAAATTTTTTAAGAATGCACATCTAAAATTGCAATGAAAACCAAGACTTTCATTTAAGTTATAACTACAGTAGTAACCCTCGAAAACCAGGTTGTTCAATCAGATATATCAATGCATACATACAATACATTAAATAATTAATAAATTGTTGCAATTAATAGTTTAATTAAAGCAAAAAAAATCCCTAACAAACAAAAAACAAACAAGAAAACATTGTAGCAAAAAATATTTATTTAAAGTATAACAGTTACACCACAGCTAAATCATTAGTTAATTATTTAAATTAGTTAAAGCCAGATAATCGATTTATGAAAAAGTTAAAACACTGTTTTATTAAAAACACATTTTAGTAAAAATAAAAGTTAATAAAACAAACATTAGTTTGTTATTGCTTTCTTGCTTCTTTTTGAAACTATTATTATTAGCCCAGTTATTATGCTATGTTTTAAATACATATCAATGATTAATATTAATGCTGATTTAAAATTCATATAAAATTCAAAGTGCAAACTGACATAAATGCAAATTGGCATAAATGTGAAGCAGTTGAAAATACTGGCACAAGTGCACTGAACAAATTTGCAAACATTGGCATAGGTGCAAAATGCCAATTTGCACTTATGTTAATACTTTAATTTTATTCTGAACACTTATGCCATTTCGCACTTAGGCCAGTTTTTGTAACAGCTTCGTAATTATGCCTATGATTGCTAATTTTTTTGGCTCACTTATGCTAATTTGCACATATGCCAGTTTTTGCAATGCTTTGCGCATGTGATAGTTTGCACTAATGAAATTCACGCTTATTCAGTTTACTGCTTGCAACAATTAATGCTGTAATACTTGTAACAATCTATGCTAATTGATTGTTGATAATTATACACTTATAGTCAAAAAAAAATTTTATATAATGGTCAGCAAAATTTTCTCTCAATTTTAATGTTTATGTAAAAACGTAACATGAATTGTAAACAAGTGCAAATTTCAAGCGTCAAAGAAAATATCTATATGAAAAATTCATATTCCATAGAGGAATATAAATTTTTCATAAGTTTATAAATTAAAAAAGTTTACATATAATCTGCTAAACAATGTTATTTCTTAATTATATAGAAAAATCCCAAATTATTTCTAAAAAATATTCAAGTGAAACACTAGTAAAAATCAACAATGTTTACTCTTATGTACTAATATTATATTATAAATACAGAGCATAACTTAATACAATGAATAACTATATACACTAATACCTACTTTTTTTCTTTATTTATAATATTTTATATTTATAATAACCATTTTATACTATGTAGTTCTATGGACATCGATAATAAAAAATTTAACATAAAAGTGCTAACCTGTCTCTAGACCTTTCATGAGACCGAGATCTAAAAATTGCAAAAGTTGTGCTAATGATTATAAAATTTAAAATTTCACAATAAAAAAAATCAATATTAAAAATAAACAAAACAAGACTAGCACAATTAAACATGTGCTACCACCCATAGTTTTACAATTTTATTGATTAGTGCACATGCTAAAAAGTTGGAAAACCACCTTTTCAAACAAATTTCCCCACCCCCTGATCCAAAAAAATTACTCTGATTATTCTCTAAAAACTGATTTTATTTTAAAAATTGTACTTGAATCAAATTCTCATAAAATCAAAAATAAAAACCAAAACAAAACAAATACCCTACATTTAGTTGGATTATAGTTGGAAAACCAACTTGGATTATGGCTTAAAACCGACAAATGAAGCACTGGTTGAACTGAGATACAACCACTCAGTAACAGAGTGCTAAGTTGGCTGCTACATGCTTGCCTATTGTTGAATGAAACTTAAATTGCTGAGACGAGCTTTAGTCGAAAATCATTTAAAAATCACTTTCCCCTGAGTAATGTAGACATTAAAGCTTAAGTTAGTTGTTTTCAAAGACGATTGAGGTTTGGTACACCATTTCAAGTATATACTGATTGTAAGTTGCGTAGGTATAAAGGTTACATATGGTCCAGATATTGCAGCATTTGAAGTATTGAATAAATAATTCTAGAAAACAGCTGAGTGTAATTTCCCTTGAACACAGTAATTAAAACTTCAGCTGCATTTAAACTTGATTCATTTAGCAGCAAAAATTAGGAAAAAATCAGCAAATTTAATTGTTATTCTAACTCTGACTTTTAATAGACTGTTTGAATTCTTTAATAAGCAACTTTGTTTTATGATTAAAAAAAACAAAACTTAAACTTAAATGGTTCCTCTTTGAAGCAAGTGCTTCACATGCATAAAAAACATTAAAAAAAAAATAAAAGAAAAAGCAAGATTAAAGGTGATTCAGAAACAAAGTTGTAAATTTATTTTTTGAACATATATAATACTATTTAAAATATAATATATTTGGTATAAAACTACAATATAATAAATATTGTAGTTTCATACCTTATATTATTTAACCTAAAGAATGATCTTAACTAAAACCTAATAACTATTGTATTAAAATGAATATTATTTATTGAAGTTTTCAGCTGTTGATGTTGGCATTTTTATTATTCAGAAGCAAAACTTTAACACGAAGACTAACAACTTTAAGACAAATATGACAGACAGTTTAGATACATTTAGTTAGCTGACTTTGTAGCAGTTGGTAGAAAGTATTTTAGATTTATGATTCAATGTAATGTAAAAACATCCAGTCAGTTGATTAGTAGTCAATTTCTATAAACTAATTTTGGAAGAGCATGTGTTGATTGCTTTTGTTGACAGATTTATTCATTTAAACCCATTGATGAAGCATTTTATAAAAAGAAAAAAATATATAGTACAATTAGAATTACCTAACTTTGATAAAACCAAAAATATTATTACTTGAGTATTGATATAATAACTTTTATAAGTCAAATAAAATAAATAAAGTTTACCTTGATCTGCGATGACTATGAGAGTTTCCACCACCAGGATTACGACAGTCTCTGGACATATGCCCAAATTTGTTACAATTATAACATTTTTCCTCTCTCCCTTTTCTTCCAGTTGCAGGTCCTCTTGCAAATTCAACACGAATTCTTGAACCACAAACTCGTTTACCATCCATTTCTCGAACTGCATCTTCTGCATCACGAGCATCTTCAAAAATTATAAAACCAAATCCTGGAGGATTGCGTGCAACCCATACATCACGAAGTCTGCCAAAAGATTCAAATTCCTTTTCTAATTCATTTCGAGAAGCATCCTCAGGAAGACCACCAATGAAGATTCTGGACATTATTTATGGTTCTAAAATTTACCATTGTAAAATAAAAATACTTACTAAAAACTATAGTGTTTAAATACAAACACAAACAACTAAAGATACCATGGATAGAAATATTGTCTTTGGCATCCTAATATTGGATAAATACATTTTTGTTTATATAAAAAATAATTACACACAACTTAAAACAGTGTTTTAAGAAAGGATATAAACAAAAACTCAGTATGCTAATTTCTTGGCAGCTTTAAAAAAGACTTCACAAAACATTTTGGTTTATCAATACTGAGCATGAATGAACATTGTAACTTTTTTTGAAACATGCTGACTCAAACTGACTAAACCAAATATAAACAGTTTTAAACAGGGCTGTGGAGTTGAGGTCGCGACATTTTTAGCAGAGTCAGGGTCGCTAAACAAAATCGCGACTCTGACTCCAATAGTAAAATTTATCAGTATCACACGTGCATGTACAAAACATTAAATTAACCTTATTTTCATACTCAACCTCAAAGAACGTTTCATAAATTTGTCAAAGAAGAAATTTTTAACTTACCGCATAGTTTTTTTTTTAAAGAATTCACAGAAATTTTCAAAAATTTTGCTTCGGAGTTGAAGTCGAAGTTATGCTCAAAAAATATCAACAACTGGAGTTGGAGTTTTTTTTGTGTCATACAGGCTTCCCCAGGAAAGGCGTGCGGTCGCACGCCTTGTTTGTCCACGCATAGATTAACTTTTTCAGAAAACGTGACTGCGGCAATATTTCGTAAATTATCCACAGAGAACAAAAAATAATATTAAAAAAATGAAACGAAGTCTAAACAAAGTATAAAATTGAAATTGGATGTAAGAAAAATATTTTGATAATATAAAAAAAATTATAAAAAAAAAGTCTTGAACATTTTTTTAAAAATTTTTATACTGTTTTTGTTTTCTTTTATTAGGGTTGCTATTTTCAGCTACGAAATTTGATACAAGTCAAGGAAAAGACGACGATAAGTCATAAAGTTTTCACGAAAAATAAAAAGACTTGATAAGTAATTTATTTACGAACTTTATCAGACAATGTATTAAAAAACTGATTCATTATTTACGCTAGACAAGTTTGGTTAAACTTTTTCATTTTTACGAAGGTTTATGCAAAGGCAATGACTTTATTCCCCAACACTTAGACAAGAAAATAAATTGCTGTTTTAATTATTAAATATATTATTTGAGATTTTAAACATTACAAAATTTTAATGTGAAAAAAGTTCTTTCTCGACTTATTTTAAACTGATTTTATTAGTCAATGCTCGCCTTTTATTACGTTGAAATTATTCAATTGCATAATTTTGTAATTACGAAAGAAGTTAAAAAAATAATTGCATTGCTTCTGTTGTCATAGTTACGAAAACAGTTCCTTCGGGACATTATTATATATTAACACTCGTTCACAATGTCAATTAATGATCGCAAAATAAGGAACTCAATCGTTTGACAATAACATTTTCTTTCATTTAAAAAAAAAAAAAAAAAAACATATTTTACTAGTAAATAGCAATCGTTTTCGTGTTTTCTTGCGTATCAATACATTCAAACATTAAAATCAATACATTTAAACATTTAAATGTATTTACGAAATATTAAAAATTGTTTATAGTTCTATCGTGAATTTCAAAGTATTACTGACTGATAAAAGTCATAAACAAATTTTACATTATAAGGTCATTTTATTTTCTTTAAACATTAATCTTTTTTTTTTGATTTGACTTTTCTTATTGATTTGATTTTTCATAGCTTAAATAACTACCACCTTAAAAAAATAAATAAAATATAGCTAATTTTTTTTTTTAATAATATACATTAATTTTTTAATTTTAAAGCACGAACAGATTTCTGTTATTTACTTTAAGATTGCTTGCATTTTTGCGGTATTTTCGTTTAGCTTTGTCTTGGCACGAATTCTTGAAACGCATAATAATAAAACGTGGTCAGTTAGTCAGAAAAATTTATTCTATGCGTGGACAAACAAGGCGTACGACCGCACGCCTTTCCTGGGAAAGCCTGGTCATACACAAAAAATTTCAACAACTGGAGTCATTACTTCATTAAGTCATTACTTTTTTTTTTTACGACTCCACACCCCTGGTTTTAAATATGATAAAAAACATAATAAAAATGAATAAAACCAATAGTTAAATGAAATTTTTATATTGTAAGATTAAATTTTTTTATTGGTATTTCAAAAATGCAAAGGTTGTTTTGATGTTTGACGATATTGCATTTGAACATTTAAAAATTAAGAATATTGAATAAAAACAATAACAACACTTGTTTAAGAAGTGTAATGAAATAATATCACTAAATACCAAGTAATACTGAAATCTAAAATTGGATTATACAAAATAAAAAAAACCTAGAATCAGAAACTAAATTACGTATGTCCCAGAAAACAAAAGAACACAGTAAACACTTGCATTATATTAATATGTATATACAAAAAAAATATTATATCTTAGAAAAGTATTTACTACATTTTATTTTGTAAGTTTTATTTAATTGATTATTGTAAACTGTTATTTAACAAGAATTTTCTTTTGTAGATTTTTTACAAGGATGCACACTACTTATAGTGTAAATATTTTATTGATACTATTTAAACAAATAACATTATGATTATGTTCACTTTTTGAAAGTAAAAAAAAATCAAATTAAATTGAATATCCAATATGACATAAATCAAAAAAACAATTGAAGATTTTTATAAGCATCATAAAGACTTTCACTTATTTCAATGTTATTTGAATTCAAACGCTGCTCTATTAACACTTTTAAATCAGGCAACTCTCTATTAAAAATTTCTCTTGAGGATAAATCTTTTGATTGAAGCACATTAGTGAGCGTACCAATAACAGCTTCATGTTCTTCACACGGGTCTTTTTTTAATATATTTATTAGTAAAGGAATCAAACTTGACAAATTCAGTTTATTGCCAGCGTCTGTTGAAGTAATTTTTTGTAAAAGAAATGTAGCCTTTAATCGAATCTTTTGGACTTCACTTTTTAGTAAAGATGAAACTAATGAAACACCATCTAAATCAATAAAAAGACACTCAGCACGATTATTACCACCAATTAGAGAAGAGATTGCATACAAACATTTAACTTTTACTATGTCAGTTTCTGATTCTTCTAAAACCTGAATCAAAGTCTGAAGACCATTTTTCGAAAGAACTGTCTCTTGACATTTTACATTATTCTGTACAGCATTTGCAATCAAATCTGCAACTCGCCACTGAATAGAGGAGTATGAACTTGTAAGAAAAATTAAACAAGCATTTAACCCACCCAAATTATTAAAAACAATGTTCATATCAAAGCCTTCCAACAAAAGATTTATTTCATCACAAATATCAGCTAAATCCTCTAGTTCATTTGGACCAAAAGTTTTTAATAGACTTGCTTTGCATAGCAAATCAGTATAAAGGGTCATCTTTTTTGCATCATCATCCTCTAAAACTGATTCTAAAGCAGCTCGAAGAAACTCTTTCCTTTCTTCATTTATTTCAGTATGCTTAAATTCTGTTAACTCTTGATCTGAAAGTTTTAGGGATAATTTTAGGAGATTATCCAAAGCTTTTGAACCTGATTTCTCCGCCATATCATAAGGAATACATATAAACTCTATAGAAGAAAAATAAAGAACCCTTTTAAAGTCTTTACAATACACATATTGCTTAAATTTAAAACTAAGTGCATGAGTTTAAAAAAAAAAAAAAAGTAATATAAAATAATAAACAACTTAAAAAATATATAATAAAAAAGAAGACAAAATAAATTTAAGTTTATTTGTCTTATATATTTTAAATTAGATTATTCTGGCATGTAACTATGTTTTTTTTTTGTTTAACTGACATAAAAATATAAACAATTTGTGACCATATTATTTTGAATTATTTATCTATATTATAACAGATTAAGAAGAATACTAAATTCATAGAAAACATATTTAAGCATACTATATTATTAGTAGTAGAAAATTAAAACAGAGTTTAAAAACACAAAAAGAACACAGATGAACACAGAGTTCATAAAACTAAAAAATATTTGTAATCATTTAGACTTTAAAAATTGTCATTGCAAAATAAGATCAAAACTGAAATTATTAAAGAGATTTAATAGAGCTATTATATTATATGCAGCAGTTAAAAAAGGCAATTTTTTTAAGAACATGCAGAATGGTATAAATGAAACATACATGTAACTTAAAATACAAGTAAATAACTAATACTAGAGAACACAAAAAGTTTGTTTACTCTGACAATATATATACTAATTTCGCCAGTTTTATTTATGCAAACATTAATAAAAAGTATATTTTAATGTTTTAGGTCGATATATGTTAATAGTTTATTTTATTATTTTTAATACACAATGTTTAAACCAATCAATTTGTTTAGCCTTTATAAGAATTGATTTATATATTTTTTTAAATCTTTCGAGTTTCGACTCTAGCTATTCAAAAAGCTTGAAAATTTTAGTTACCAGAAACATCGCAAAAGACTTATAAAGTAATGTTTAGACTTCTAAAAACGAACGAAATCTACCTATAATGAATAATTTAAAAAAAACTTTAACCCTTTTATATAACTTGATAATTAAAATTATAATTAAAGTAAACGAAAACAGATACAACTTACTTTAAGAAGAAAAATCGAACATCTACAGAGCAAGGCAATACAGCGCGCAAGAGATTTGAAGCATGTATGACTCGACTTTTTTCACACGGGCCGTAGTAAATGGTCAGGCGCTTTCAAAAGACTAATCACGTGACATTTATTTTTTATCAATTTGTAATAAGTCAGAGGATTTTAAGTTAAAGTTAGTGAAAAAAATCGAGTATTCATTACAGTGACGGATCCAGGAATTTCTAGTAGGAGAGGAGGTGCGTACCCCCATCCCACCTGGATCTGTCATTGATTCATTAGTTTATCAATATCAAAAATAACATTGGATCTAAGAATTTTCGTATTCGATAAAGTTTAATCTTCTATTAAAAGCTAACTTACGAACAAAAATCAAAATTAATAAAAGAGTCTTAAAATCATCATGCATATGAAAAAAACTTTTTTGTTTACGTATTAAAATACAAAGAGTGTTCGCCATTCATTTCTCCCGCTTTAACTTTGGCAATGGTTTGCTCTTCGCTATATTTGGTGACAGATGTTCTGTTTAAGTTTTGAGGCATTGTTGTTGGTATTTCAACGATTTAATTAATTTTAGTTGGTTATAAGACCAACATGACCTAAGAAATTAGTTACCAAAACAAGAGGATAGGAGAAAATAATATCAGTTATCTAATCAAAGCTCATCTCTATTTAATGTAAATAGGTGGAGAAACTCCCCCAATTAGTATTTCCGCAATAAGTTCGAAACCAATCAAATTAGAAAGAAAAAAAACGACGGATTTTTTGAAAAATTTCCTACATATTAGTTTTTTTAAATTTTTGATGGAAATAAATAATTAGATTTCAAGTAGAATGTTTTTCCTGTATCTCCTGTTATTTTGAAGATTATCAATCAACTAATTTTCATATTAAGTCCTTAAAGAGACAAGTATTTTTTGATATAAATTGATAAGAAAGAATGTTTTTCTTCTAATAAAAATTTAAATCATAAAAAAATCTTTGTCCTGAGTAAAGTCATAGTTATGTAGAGATACATCGATTGGTGGCAAATTTCTAATGTAACAAAATCGCTCAATTTTACTCTATTTTTAAGCATGATAAGTTTGTTACATATAATACAAATTTATTAATAAAAATAAATGAAAAGTATTCTCCAAAAACGAATCAATATAAATAATTTAAATCTTAAATTAATAATTAAAAAAGTGTTTTATGATGTTAAGATTATTCTTTTGAAAGAAGTTTTTGCTGAAAAATATAAAAAAATGAGGATTTGGGTAGATTTGGGTAATATGAGAAAAACAAAAGATTTCTAATATGCAAGCAGTGAAGTTCAATTTGTTTTGTATTTTTTGAATTGACGATATGAGGTTATATATAACCTCATATCGTCAATTCAAAAAATAATAATAATTTAAATAATAATAAATAAAAAATTACGCTAAATATATTGCTATATATTATAATAGAAAGCAATATATTTAGCGTAAATTTATACCTAATTAAAACGTTATATAACTTTTTGTGTTGTTAAAATATTATCATTACACAAGATAGAATCGGTGGCGCGAAATTTTGATTTTGAAATATAGTAGATATTTATTTTTTCATAAAGAAAAATATATAATCTAAAATTCCGTTCTATTTTTGTTTGGCATAGAAACATACATTTTTGACGTCATTTTTAAAAGTAATATGAGCATGCTTAAATTACCAAGTGCTTTATATTGTTTAAACTCCTAAAATGGCGGTCGTTTTAATTGCTTTTTAAATAAAAGCAAAGTATAATAAAAATTTCATTATTTTAACAATATTAAAAATCTTTCATGTAATTTAAGTTCAAAAAATTTTTATATTTATCCTTTAAAAGTCAATAAAACTGAAAAAATGACAAATTAATTTTTGTTTTTGTTTTTTGCTTAAAACAAAGTAGTATTGTTCTTTAATGATAAGTTTTGTTTATAACGTATCATTATATTCAACAAATTAGTTCTAATTGTCAGGTTTGTATTTTTTTACTTATTAATGTTATTTTTTTCGACTAATTTAAAGAGCTCATATAACCATATTAATGTTAATCATATATATATATTTTTTTTTAATTTTACATTTGTTGGCCGTATAACAACTACATATTGCCATAAAAAAATAATGATGATAATAATAAACTTTCACAAATATAAAATAAGGTATCTGAAAGAAGATCAAAGGATCTTGTCGTCAGAACCTTAAATAAGTTCAAACAAGCATTAACAGTATCAAGTTTTTACAAATTTCATAAGTATATATTATATAATTCAAAGAGAGATAACGCGGATCTACTCACCAATATTTTATATAAACGTATACGTTAAGTAAAGAATATAAAATCAACAAAATAAGTAAAAATAAACTTTTTACAAATGTAAATAAGAAAAGGCAAAGTTATTAATTCATATTATTAATAATAACATAATACGTCATCTAATGAAAAAATTAGGGTTTTTTCATATCCTTTTCATATCACTATCCCACTATTTCTTTAATCATATTACTATTCTATGTTAATCATATCGATATGATATGAAAAGTAGCGAAAGTGATTGAAATAATATCACTGTGTTTTTAAGAGAAAATTTAGGGCGCCCAAATATCCAACTAGATAATGAGTAGTGATCCCTAAAGATTGCTTATAAGCAAAAATTTTGGATCCAGCATAATTATTCTTGAAAATATTCTAATTTTCACTTAAGGTGTTCATAATACCCTTATTATAAGAAAGTGGAAGAATATCAAAAAACGTTTGCCCAACTTAGTTTATCAAAAAGGAGTCTAAACAAAGTTCTAAAAAATAAAAATAAAAAATTAAGTTGCCCTGCTACTATTAGAAGTTTGAAAGTTGTTTGAAAACTGTTTTCTCTTTATCAGTAGAACATTAAAACTATACAATGTTTAGAAAACAATAATAAAATAATAATTATTATTATAAAAAAGTAAAATAAATAAATTTCTTAATAAAATAAACAAGTTGTTAGATAATTATTTCACATTCTTAATTTGAATTAGAAACGTAAACCATGGCCTACTTACTATATTATATTTACTACTTAAAAATTGTATTTTGAGTAAACCATGACGTAAACAATAGATAACATTTATCTTTTTGTTGCATTTTATGACTATTTTTCATTTTAGTGGTATTACATTATTATTACTATTACATACAGCAACTTTTGATTGGGTATAAGAAACTTTGCTAACCTAGGCTTCAGACAAAAACTTTTTTTTAGCCTAAAAGGTGTTTTAGCCAAATAGTTATAATAAGACATAATGCATTTTTTGCTAAGATAATCATTTCTAATCTAAAATAAAATTATAGACAACTAACAAATTTAAGCACTCGTTTTTAGAAATTATTTTTATATTTAAATTTTATTTACTTTGAAAAGAGAAGGAAAGCAAAAAATCAAGGTCACCTTTAAAAAACAACAAATTATCACTTTTTCATTGTCTTTGGATGACGTCATCAAAATGTGTTGTATTGCGTGGTAAAATTTTGTTAACACAGAGCACATTAAGCGTTTTCCATTTCATAACAATATCGTTTCATTTTTTAGGCATTTGAAGTATAACTTGATGCATTTTAACATGGGAAGAAAATCAGATATTTCAAGTTTTATCAAAGGACAAATTAATGCACTGCATGTAGTAGGACAAAGTCAGCGTGCTATAGCAAGACAGTTAAAGATTTCAAGATGTGCTGTTCAAAATGCATTAAAGGAGGAGACAGGTAAGCGTTTAAATTGCGGCCGTCCCCACAAAACAACAAGTCGTGAGGATCGATTTATGAAAGCTGTAGTAGTACGTAGTCCGAGTGCATCCTCTGCTCGCATAGCTCAAGCACTTCGTGAGAGAGGGACAGTTATTAATTCTTGCACAGTCAGACGACGCCTAACTACAGATTTCAAACTATTTGGAAGACGACCAGCAAAAAAACCGTTATTGACAAAGGTACAATTGGCAAAAAGGATTAAGTTCTGTAAGGCCTTTAAAGGTAAACCTGTGGAATGGTAGGACACAGTAATGTTTAGCGACGAAAGCACATTCCAGCAGGTCAGGTGATCAGATTATAATTATGTAAGACGCCCAGCTGGACAGCGCATGAATCCAAAGTATACGCTGAAAACATTTAAGTACCCCCAAGTATTATTATTTGGGGGTGTATCTCCAGTCAAGGACCTGGGCCCCTTGAGCTTATGGATGGCACAACCGGATTGAATGCTTAGTTGTATATTGATATTTTGAGTAGAAAGTTAAAGGTACACATGAATAATTCAAATACTACAATATTCCAACAAGATTCGGCACCATGCCATGTTGCTAATAAAACACAGAACTGGTTTACGACAAACGTAATTAAAAACTTTTTTCACACTTTTTATTACTATAATAGTGTATATTTAATTTTTATACTTTAGCATTAAATAAATAAAAATCGCCTTAACTTGAACTAATATCTCATTTCTGTCAAAGTTCGACTTAACCAGACTTCGGTTAAGTCAAACATTCGTTAAGTCGAACCATTTTTCTTGGTCTTTTGGAGATTCGAGTTATCGGGAATTAACTGTAACTCTTTTTATATTAAAATAATATTTACTTTTCAGCGGTTTCTCTTTGATTTATCGCCATTGCTTGGTTTTAAAGTCATTACAACTTGCATTTGAATTTTAAACAACGCTCTAAAGTTTACTATTTTGCATAGGAATTGTCCATTTTTTTGAAAATTTTAAAAAAAGTGCTTAATAAAGGGATATATATATATATATATATATATATATATATATATATATATATATATATATATATATATATATATATATATATATATATATGCATATGTGTGTGTGTGTGAACAATAACATATAAAATAAAGATATAAATAATATCTTAAAACGATTATCTCCGGGTAAAACGGAGGTAGCGCATTATAATTTTAATTTATAAACAGGATTAAGGAGATAAAACAAAATGCAATGTCAGGTATAGTAAGTTAATTTTTTTTTTTTTACTGATTTTTTGTAAAAAATAAATATTTTATCCATAAAAAAAAAAAAAACGATCTAACTCAATTTTTTTGATTTGTGGAGATAAAACAAAATAATTCTAACTTCGCGATATATATATATATATATATATATATATATATATATATATATATATATATATATATATATATATATATATATATATATATATATATATATATATATATATATATATGACTCCCATCTTGTATCTTAACTTGATTTAAAAATATATGTATATGTATATATATGTTACGCACAGATCGTGAAATCGCGCATTTTACGAACTGTGCAATTTTTTGCTGATTTCGTGAAATGGATGGCGCTGTTGCGCAGATTGTGAAACGTTGAACTATAACAGTTTCTTTTTAATAATATTCTCTCAAAAGTATTAGCAACCAAATAAAATGACCCTAAAAAATGTTAATATCAATAGTTAATGGCAAATTTTTTACTTTTTAAGATCAAGGAATATCTTAATGATTGTTAACATTTTTGATTTTCATTGGTTAAGTACTAATAATTGCAACATCACAATTCCCTTGGACATTATTTCCACACTTGCGCTGCTGATTTTCCTTGAGTTCTTGTGAGTAATTATAAAAAGTTACTCATGTTTTGGGGGACCACGTTTTTGTGTTTAAATACCAAATTTTTTTTGACCACGTTTTTACGTTAAAATTTCAATAAAAACAAAAAACAAGTTTACTCATTTTCGAGTAGTCTTATTATATACAAATATTTTTTCTTATATATAATATTAAGCATTTTTTGTATTCAAAGCGTAATTAAAAAAATGAAATTGCTAAAATTAGTATTTAAAGTAGAAAAAAAAGCATTTTTTACTTAGTTGCTAATGTTTTGGAGGACATATATATATATATATATATATATATATATATATATATATATATATATATATATATATATATATATATATATATATATATATATATATATATATATATATATATATATATATATATATATATATATATATATATATATATACATATACATGTGTGATTGACTATTACATGATAAACACTTTAAATAATAAATGGCATTTCCAAATCCAAATATTACTATTGAATGTCACAAAAACTTTTACATTTTATTCATAGAACTGTCAAATTACAGTAATGTTTTACATTTAAACAGCCTTTTTATAATAGGTGCTACTGAATGAAATTTAAAGTAGGCAAGTTTGCATATTTTGTGGTTCTTAATAGTTACAAGGTTGTTAAAAGTAGTAATGTTAATAGTTGCAGACTGATACTAGATGGATGTTGATGATGTTACCAGATGGATGTTAATGATGTTACTAGTTGGATGTTACTGATGTTACTAGATGAATTTTGGTGATATTGAAAGTTGGATGTTGATGATGTCAAAAGATGGATGCTGAGGATGTTGAAAAATGGATGTTGAAGAACACTTTATTTGTTTTCTTTTTAGTGAATAGGTTAAAAGTTTTGATTTAATTTATTTTTTATCTAATTGCATTTGAAAAATGTACAAAATATATAAAATTGAAAGAGATAATTATTAAATTACTCTTATGCAACACCAAAACTAATAAAACTCCAATGAGAATATGTGCGAAAAAAAGTTAATAAACTGCACAATGATGATGAAGAACAAACCATTTTAAAATTAAATTTAATAATTTACAAAATCAGCATATAAACTAAAGGAATGTAAAACAATAATAATTTCGCAGGTATCTTCAAGAATAAATACTTTCAATGTTTAATAAAGACATTGAAATTCATTAATGTCAAAGTAGTGCGCAGACACCATCAGGTGCTCCAAAATTGAGCACTGTAGCCCTTGTAAATGTCCAATTAAATACGGGCCTGTCAAAATTCTTTTTCTTAAGTGATCTAGATTTTGAATTTGATGGTGTTTTTAATTTAAATTTAATTTAATAACTTCTAAAAGAGACAGACAAAATCTGCTATATTTAAATCTGTAACTACCAATAACGTCTTAACTTAGATTTGAATTGGAGATTTGGCGTTTCTATTTAATGTTAACAATATGCTGAAAATATTTATAACTTTAGATTTTATTTTTGAGTAACAAAATTACTTTCTGAAAATTTGGTGGGGTATTTATGGCTCATTTCACTAAAATAAGGATAAAATATCGTTGAAGATAATACATGCTTAGTTGTTCATGGTTGTCATGGTTGAAGACAGTCTATGTCATGGTTACCATAGAAATGAACTGCCATTTTATTTTATTTTATTCTGTTTTTAATGACAGTATAAATTTACTGTTTGACTCAAGAAAAACGTATTTAGCTTATAATTTATATATTTATAGTTGCCCCTTAACTCAGCAAATAACATTTTAAATTTGTTTTTATCTAAATGTTTAAGCTATATATTAAAATCTCCATCAACATATTTAAAGTTGTTTAATACTTTGCTCTTCGACTTTTGAGAAACACAAGTTAAATTCTTGGAAAAAACAATGGTTTTTCTAAGAACTTAGATTGCTTCAATTTATTAAATTTTGTTTTAGTTTCATCTATACTCAAGGATGTCATAAGGACACCGTCTTAACTATGACGTTTTTGAGGAGTCAATATTAGGTCTGAGTAGTGTCTAATTAAGACATCTATGAAACGTTTACGTTTTTGTTCACATGACGGATCTTAATATTTAGTTTTGTGACATCGGTAAAGAAGGCGTGAACTTTCTGGTTAAATGCTATTCCGCGGTGCTTTGTGATAAAAGCGTAAGGATTTCTTGGAGCACCTTAATCACTAAAAAAAATTTTTTTATAAAAAGTTAAGTAAACATCAAAAATTTTTTTTTAGAAACGCGCTGACCTCCTGCAAAGAAAATAAAAATCATATACGAAACATCTTGATGGATCACGCATTTGTATTAGAAATTCTTCTAAAAATTGCTTAATCAAACCAGTTTTATAACTTTTAGATCTTTGCCCTCATTTTGACAGGGTTTTTATGAAAAATTACTCAATGAAAACAACCTCATAACGTTGAGATTTTTGCTCAATCAAACCAACCTCATAACGTTGAGATTTTTGCTCTAACTTTGTGGTTTAAAGTTTAAGTATTCTAGAGAAGAATGATTGAATAAAAATGAAAAAGAATGAATAAGATTTTAGTCTCTGTTGAAAACCTGTTGCAATTTTGACAGAATTTAATACTAATACAGAGTTTAGGCAAATTCACTGTAACATTAAAATACATCATCACAGCACTGCTGATTGGTTAGGACCCAGGTATTTCTGTTGCAATATATCAATAAAGGAGTTTAAACAGAAAATAAGTCAATTAACAAGAAAAACAAAATACTTTTTCTATAATATCCATTTTGTTTGTAACCATGGAAAATGAGATTTCTCGAAAAAACGTCATTTATTTTGAAAACGCACAAAGAGGTATGATAACAATAAATAAAACTTTTTTTTATGGTTTTATTAGAATTTTTCGTTTATTTTAGAAAATTGGTTGCAACTAGGAACGTTGGTCCTTAATGCTGATAGAATAGAATATAAATATATAGATTGAATTGATTATGACAAGCCACAAAAATAAAGCTAACCAAAGAAAACCGCAAGTACTGAATTAATTAAAATTTAAATACTTTCAATGATGACACTTTGGACATTACATGTGTTTTTTTGTTTTTACATTTAATTGTTTAAAAAGTGTAAAAACGAATCGAAAATAAATCGCTATTATTAACAAAATTAAAAAAAAATAAATAAATAAATACACATTCAATACATTTTTATTTTGATGATGAACTTGGAAATAAATTACTAACTGATAGAATAAAACTTAACCTTTAAACCTTAGTTATTTGGAATAGTTATTTGAAAACTGATGTTTATTAATTTAACTTTTCTATTATTTATTTACTTATAAGAAAAAATTCCTCTAAAGTTCAATAACGCTGAATCAATTGCAATGAATGATTGTGACAAACCATAAAATATCTAAGACGCACGAAAACACAAAAGTCTTAGTTAAAGTGAATATTATGTTTTAGATTCGTTAAACTTTTTGAAAGGGAGATGTTTAATAATTCTCTACAACTCAAAAAACAAAAAAATATAAAATGGTACCAAGGCCTGCAAAGAATATAGCAAATTGACTAAAATTGTCCAAATTTATTACAATTAATTTTCAAGAAATCATTTTTAAAACATCCTTTGCCTCCTTGTGGTATATAATTAACTTTATCGGGAAGTTATAAAAAGATTTGTGGTTGAAATAACTTTTAATTTGGTACCTTTTTAATATTTTTTGCGTGTACATTAAAAGCTTGTTAGTAACGTATTAATTAACAGTGTGAACATACTTAATTAAGTTTAATTACTCCAATAAAATATAAATAGATATTTTGCAACTAAAAAATTAATAAAGATTTCCAAATTACCAGGTAGTAGTTATATCAAAACTAAAAGCAGAGATGAGTAGCATGCTGTAAGATTCAGGTGAATTTTGTTACTAATGTCAAATATTATTTTTAAGTGAGCTTAACATTGTTAAAAATCCTCGATTATTGATGAAATAAATTTATTGACAGTATATGTTTATTATGACTTATAATAATAAAATTGAGGTAAATTAATTAACTAAGAATTAAATTAGTTTATTATTTTGCAATTCTTTTAAATGCTCATAGCCGATTCTCCATTCCGCGCGGAACCTTCCCAAGAAAATTTGAATGGAGAACTGGCAAACCAAACGCGTACCGTTTTTGTACAATCTTAGGTTTATGGTAATCAGTAACAATGCTATAATATTTAATAAATTTGAAAAAAAAAATATAAATGATTTTTTATATAAAAACAAAACTCTTATATAATATATACTTATATTTATATTTATATATAATGTTTATACACACACACACATAAGTTATAGATCTACCTCTGCTAACCTGTTTGGCTGCTTAGAGTAAACTTTTATTTACTCTACCTAAATTCTAAAATCGAGCATGATTGCAAATATTACTAACTTTTCATTCTGGTATACGGAAAAAAACTTCATTTATTTTAGCAAAAAAACATTTTGCACTTTTTTTATTAAAAGTTTTGTTAATTTTTTTTTGTTAATTTTCATTTTTTATTTCACTAAAACACATATGTAAAGTATTTATGAATTTCATATAATTATTATTGTATTATAGTTTAGTTTCTTTATGTTTTTGGTTGTCTGGCTGTTACAAAGTAACATTGAACTTATAAAAAATTAAAAAAAACATTGTCACGTCATAGTTTAATAATGGAAAAAAAGACAAAAGTTTTCCTATTTCGACTTGCGTTTGGAGTGGGGTTTGCATTCCTTTTTGCTGCTGTTAGCGCGATATTTATAAATCAAGTATATCTTGAACAAAGAATCGAAAAAGTAGCTGCACAGTCGAATTTATTATCTGGAAAAGATTTATCAAAAAATAGTAATAATTTAAAAATTCAACTTGTTCCGACAGATGAAGCCCCTCATGCTGGTACTGAACTTGCTCCTGTTTTGCTCGAAAAGAACATTGAAAAAATAAAAAGTTTAAACTTGTTAACCACAAAAGAAAACCAGCCACCTTCAACAATAATTACAACAGAATTAACAACTGTAGAAAAAAAAACCGAAAATACAGAAAAACCAAAAGGTAAACATATCTTAATGTTCATCAAAAAGATATTTTTTTATTTTTTTCCTAAAACATTAAACAATTTATTTTTAATTAGTTAAAAAATGTAAAACAAAAACATGTGTTGCTCCGAAATGCAGATGCCCAAGCGTTGAAATACCTGATGAACTTTCTCGAAATAATACTCCACAAATGATTGTAACTGCTATGAACGATCCAATTAACGCAAAAACTTCTCTCGTCTTTAATAGTTTATTTAAATCAACGAATGTAAAGAAATGCCCAACTAAAGCAACTTTTTTTGTTTCTAACACTGATACAGAATATTCATTTGTTGAAATGTTATACAAAAAAGGTTTCATTTTATTGTTTATATAAAATATACTTTATTAAATAATCAGAACTAAACATTTTATACCTATAATTTGAGTAAAATAAAATAAAAAATATTTCAAGTTACAATTACTCATTAAAAGGTTATATTTTGAACTTAAAATTGCATTATTCAATATTTGAAGATTTTTAATTTTTTTACATAATTTATTATTTAATGAATCTTTTGAAAAATATTTGACAATAGGTCATGAGATTGCAGATAATTCGTACTCATACAAAAATCCGAGCACTTGGTGGAATAAGGTATACCTTAAAGTAAAACTTAAAATTTTATCTTGTATCTAAAGTGTCCATCATATGAGTAAGATAAGCGTAAAAATCGATTAAATTGAGATATTTACCGCGCTATTCTAATTAAAATATGGGATGCAGGTCACCTTAATCGTATTCTTCTTGCTGTAGTAGAATGTAGAATTATTAAAAGTATATTATTTGGCATAATAGTAAATCTAAAATGTTTAATTATTTTAAATTATAATTAATTAATAATAGCGTAAATACTCAATTCATAACCTTTAATTTTACCATATATTTGTTTCTAACAAGTAAAATGAGTAAGAGGTATAATGATGATAATTTTTAAACAAAATTTGAATGTAGATTTGCAATGAATTTTAAAATTTTTTTTAGGCTACATATGAACAGCTGGAAGAAGAAGTACTTAGACAGAAACGTATACTACAAGTTGCTGGAATTCAAATACTTGGGTGGCAAACGCCTTATCTGGAGTTCAATGAAGCTGTTTACAAATTACTACTTGATAACAATATCATTTATGATAGCTCAATAGTTACTGCTCCAGGAGTAAGATGGTGGCCTTTTACTTTAGACTTTCCACCAACTAGTCAATTGTGTTACATGAACAACTGTCCACAAAGTAAGTGAATGAAAATTTTAACTGATTTTGTAGCAACTTTGTAGCAATTTTGTAGCAATTTTGTAGTTTTGTAGCAACTTACACTCTAGAGATTTACGTAAATTTGTGGACTGGGTTCAAATTACCATATCTGGTTATTTTTGATAAATAAGTATTTTTTGATAAATAGTCAAAGTTGAATTTTTTTTATATGACAATTAAAAAACTAATTTATTAGATATACTTAAAGAAAAGAAAATTCAAAAATTTGAATAATGTAAGGGGTCTGGTTTCTACTGTTCTATTGATAAGAAGTTTGGTATTTAAAAACAAGTATTCTGTTAAATTTGGATTAAAAATAATGTTAGTATAATAACATTATAAGGAAATAGAGTTCTAAATATTTGAAGTTAAGAAATCTAATGATTTAAACTTTTAGATTACGTTTTATTATTTAATAAATAAGCAGCTTATCGTGTTGGCATCTGCTTTTTTGATTAAGCTTCTGTTTAATATGTTTTGCTTAAACTTCTTTGTTTGTTTTAGTATCATACCCAGGACTTTGGGTTATGCCAATTTCACCTTGGATGAATGAAGATGGCAGCACATGCATAACGTTTGATCAGTGTCTCAAAAAAACAAAGTCAGCGCAAGAAGTATACAAAGTCATTATGAATAACTTTAAAAAGCATTACAACGATAATAAACAGCCTTTTCCAATATTTAGTATATCGAATTGGTTTGGTCAGTCTAATGAAGTATATCGGATAGAAGGTAAATAAATTTTGTAGAAATTAATAGGAAAAAAAGTTAAATAGAAAAATATCTGAACGCAAGTAAAAATTTCTTTCAAAGCATTTAAGCTTGAATAGAACCCAACTAAATATTAATAATATATAACTGGGTTTTAAAATTTTTAAAATTTTTAAATGCTTTTTAAAAAATAATTTTTAATTTCTCATTTCGGGGATGAAAAAAATGTTCGTTGCCGGAAAAAACATGATTCAACATTATTTATTTTGAATTTGCATTATTTGCTCAATTCAAAAGTTTTTTAAGTTCATTTTATATATTTAACAACAATATATTTTAACAACAATATATTTAAACAACAATTTTATATGCTATATTTTCTATATTTAACAATAAACTTGCAATAAACATTAATCGTTTAATAGACATACAGGCAAGGCCGTCCCGTCCTTCGGGACGGTCCTGCATACAGGGGGTCGAAGAATGAATTGAATTGAATATGAATATTCTGATTCCATCTTAGAAATGTTCAGCTTCAGACATTTTCTCATGCTTTGATGTTTATTTTTAATTATGTATTCATTTAGTTATGTAAAATTATGTATTAAGTTAAATTTTCTAGGTCTTTCAATGTTTATCGATGAAGTTCAAAAACTCCCTGATGTTTATTTTGTTACAGTTTCGCAAGCTATCGAATGGACAAAAAATCCGATTCCATTAAACAAAAATCCTTGGCAATGTTAAAAAACGACATTTTTTTCAAGTTTTTAAATTTTTAGTTTAGCAGCATCGGTACAAAACAAGATACTGAGATAATTTATTTATTTATATACCTATTGTCATATATATTTGTGTACACTTAACGGGTTTATAAGATAAGTTGGAAGAACTTGTTTTCTGATAAATTATAAAATTATTTCAAAATGAACGTTAAAACAACAGTATTCTTAAAAATTTAAAAAGAGTTTTTAACAGCTAATCTTTAAATTTTATAACTAATAGTAAAATAGTGCACATAAAAAACTAGATTTAGAAAGAAAAATAAAACGGGTTTTCTTTGTTTTCTTTGATTCTTATATATTTTCCTAAAACTTTTTGAAGAGTATGCGAAAGCTCTTAGTTAAATCAGAAATGTATTTACGAGAGTGGCTCCATTTTAAATCAGATCTCCAGAAGCTCGTATTACAATTGTTTGGTCTAATTCAGGGCCGACAACGCGGCCCCCGCCCCTCTAGCGTTGTTTGCCTTATAGTTCTAAGCGACATGACATTATTCAAAAGAATATCAACAATGAGATGACATTAAATATAAAAAATTTAATTTTTTTAGTTTAACATAAACTCCCCTGGAAAAAAACTCAAAATACGCAACTAATACAGTATAGTTAAAGCTTTTTGATTTTAAATTTATTTTTTTCACGCTTTATTATTATATACAAAGTTTATTATTATAAACAAAGTTAATTTTTATATTGGAATACGTACTTCATGTTTAAATATATTTCTAAATTTTTATATTAATTTTACTTTAACTATTTATTACGATCGACTCTAGGGAGTTTTCAGGAAAGCAAATGAAAAATTTTCCTATTAAAAAAAAAAAAGTGATTTTTCCTAAATGTTTACACAGACAAACCTATTACAACTACCTCGTTTTAGTTTGACCAATTAGTTGATGGTAAAAGAGTGAATGCTATCACTTAAACTTTGTCCTCTTAATCATGCTATGTTTTTGGAGTTTAAATCATGCAATTTTTGTGTAATTAATCAGTTGAAAATGAAAAGCTATATCTTTTGGATTTTCTACTCCTCATTGCTTACTCTTTTGAGTATATTTTACATTTTGGAAACAAGATGGAAATTAAAGAATACCTTGCCAAATCCACTGCTAAAAAAGCATCATTAAAATATACACAAGTGTTCAACAAAGGTTTAGAAGGAAGCCTTATAGTTGATGCTTTGATTCACTCAACTTTTTCAAAAACACTAATGATGAAAAACTGCCCAAAAGACATTTAAAGATGCTGAGATTTTTGCTGATATAACGGGAAAGGTGGTTGATGTAATTATTAGATCGGAGATAATCTTAACATTGTTATGCTTTTTTTATGAGCTGAAATCTGAAAGATTTGTCATTTTTACTGATATGTGATTTTCCCAACTGTTTACAAACTCTTAGAACATTGAGTGCAGATACCTGAGCAATTAAAACAAATAGTGTTTCCTTTTTTTTTTGTTTTGTTAATAAAAAACTTATACATAATATGGTGTTTTGACTTTTTGAATCAAAAATTTTATTTTTACTATTATATATACGCGTTTTAGCTTGAGAAACCCAAATCTTTTGATTTAGATTTTTGAAGTCCTTAGTCTCTGTTACTTTAAAGATAACGTCAGGGATAGTGCAAATCTGCGTAACTAGCATTGGCTAATATATTTGAATATTAATAATTTCAACACCAAAAATCTATTGCTGACAAAAAACACGATACTCTTTAAAATGAACCCAAAATCTGTTGAAATAAAAAAATATTAAAACTTCTCCAGCAAAAAAATAATATCTACGACGATAAGTTTAAAATTTAAAACTTTATTATCTACATACTTTCTTCTTCTTAGTTTTTCGAATCGAGATTTTTTATTAGTTTGATTAGATAAAAAAAAAGTCAACATAATATTTTTTTTCCTATTTAATTGTTAATTTTGCATATCTAAATAAAGAGATAACAATTGGTGTCTGCCAATATTTTAAGGTGGATTTCCCTGACATATCCCGGATCTTCTACCAGTTTTCCCTAATTTAAAGCTACCCAAACTCAACTTCAACAAAATCGACCTAGATAATACAACTCACATTAAATGTATCATAAAACTAAGTTCATAAAAGAAGTTCATAAAACTAAAACTAAAAATAAATCTGTCAAATATACTTTTATATTAAGTGTATTATATACAACTTATTTAAGTTATGTAAGTTAGACGAAGAGCCATTTTCCCTGATTTCTCTCTGATTTTTCTAAATTTGACGTAATTTCCCTGATAATCCCCTAATTTTTTTGCAGATATCTGAATTTCCTGACTTTTCTCTGTTTTCCCTGATTTCCCTGATCTGGCAGACACCCTGGATAATGTAAAAATTTGAAATAAAACAACGAGTATGATTATATTTTATTAATATGTAAAAAATATCAGTAGAAAAATAAATTAAAATTTACTTGGTCAATTGTTTAAATACTTTAAGCATTTTATCTTTTGGATATAAATCTCCATTTAATGACGTTACATAACCTAAATATTTTGAATGAAACTCTGTTTTAGGTTCTTTAAAATTTTTGTTTTCATTCTTATTAAAAACGGGAATCAATTTAATATGTGCATAATCAATTTCAAAACCTTCAAAAATCATACAAGTTGATTCTACCGAAAGTGAAGTTTTAATTAATGTAGATACTTTGTAGGCAGCTTCGATTAATTTTTCGTAATCGGTATCATCAAGGCTAAATATGTCACTTGTTAAATGTTTACGAGGAACTATCACTGTGAATCCTGGAGTATTTGGAAATGGAGTAAGAAAAGCCACATGGTGTGAATCTTCCCAAATGCGCCATTGTTTTTCTTCGCCCCGAACGATTCTTGAAAATAAATTCGTATCGTTTTGATCTCCGTAAAAAGCATAACTAATTGAGCTATCTTCAAGATTATATCTTATTTTGTTTTGAATATTGTTTAAGTCAACCTCTGACATTCGCGGTCCATTTTTTGAATTACAAAAACCAGGATATTCATCAAAATATTCAGGCTCTTTATTTAGTATCGGCGTCCATTCTGAACTGACACCATGCAAAGGAATGATTTTTATTTGTGGATGACCAGCAACTTTTACTGGTTCGACTAACAGAGCAGAACGTTTGACGCATAATTTATTACATAGCAAATGTGCAGTATTTTTTGCACTAAACAATAGCCGCTTGTATTCATCTATTGGCAATTGAAAAATACAAGTAACATTGTTATTTTTAGACTCAACAACTGATGTCCCAGATGTTATTGGATATGGATGTAAATAGGAAACTTGCACTTCATCTTCAGCAAATACAAATTCTTTTTGTTCGCTTAAATGTTCCATCATTAATTTTATCTAAAAAAAGACTGAAATAAAATTTTTTGATGTTTTTCATAAGTTTTGTAATTTTTTTAAGAATACTGTTGAAAAATAATAACATAAGATAAATTAAACTCACAATAGTGAGTAAAATGCATAAAAGCATTGTTTTTGCATTGGTCATAATTTTTCATAATAGTTTCAAATAACTGTAAAATTCTTTTTACATTAAATAAAATAATCCGGTTTTTTTTGTATTAGATCGTGAAAGTATAAAACAGATGAAAGTTCAACTGCATTGAAATTCTTCGGGACTATGTTCGAAACCTTTTGTTTCGTAAACAATAAGAAAACGACATCAAGACTGTACTTAAACGCCTAATCGTTATACGTTGACGCAAATAGGTACGTTTATAATAATTAAAAAATAAAGGTTCGCCAATAATATTCATGAAAAACATTAAAAATGGCGCAAATAAAACGGCAAACAACAAATTATTTATAAACTTCATATTAAATGAATGGAGTACTACAAGAATAAATGGAAATATGATATACAGCTAATAAAACTTTAAACTTCAGTTATTTAGAAAACAATTTTTTTAAAAATTGTTTTCTAAGCTTAAACACGGCTGTTTCACTCAATATAAAAGCAAGCTTGACGTCGCAAGAATTTTTGTGTTTAAAAAAAAAAAAGAATTTCCGCATAAAAAGTATAAAAATTCTCTAACTTTAAATTAATAGTATTTTTTTTATAAATGCTTTCATCTTTGAATAAAAAAAATATAAAAGAACAATCTTTCTTCGTTAAGTAAATATTTACGTTAAACGAAATAAAAATAAACATTGTTAAAATATTTTAAATGATTTTGGATCACTTTTCCGTTTTGGCGATTTTCACGGAAAACCTGTCTTGGGCCAACCAAGATTCGCTAACATAGCTAATGGTTGATGGTTGAAATTTGGAAAACATATCAATGAATGTCTATTCTATCAGATTCCTACGTCATCCTGGTGATTTATTTTACTATAACTCAATTTTTAATGCATTTATACATTTAAATTTATCTCTTTTAAATGTAAAATATAATTTTATTGATGGATGACGTAAGTTATTGAAATTTCGACCTTTTATGCAGATGAAAATATAAAAATTATTTTATGTACCTTTTGCTATGATAGCGAATATGTTTTCAAACTTGGCATGTTTAGCAACTTTTTCTACACCTTTTCTGGATCAATTTAAAAGAAATACGAATCAATATAAAGGAAATACTAACTTAAATTGATTCGTATTCCTTTTAAATTGATCCAGAAAAGGTGTAGTTTTTAGCGTAAATTTTTGTTTACGTTATTAAAGCAATGACGTAAAACATTAAACTTTAAAACATTTTTTTTCGATTTTGTTTTATGACTTTATTATCTCTGTTTCAATTAACATAAAGTTTTAGTTATATTTTTTGTTTTTATAATAGTCTAATAATGTTTATAACTTGTTAATAAATATTAGAAATATATATTTTTAATTTTTTTGTTGATAAAAAGTAACAACAAATTACTTCAGCCAATTTCATCATTTGTCGCGTTTTTTTTTAACTAAAAGAAGTTTTTTTTACTAATTATATTAAATGTCATATGATAAAACATTTTGTTGTTATTTTTATTCCGTTTACATAACAAAATTATCTTTAATATTTCAAAAGTTATACATATTTTAGTAACACCCCTTACGTTAAAATTTTCAAAAAAAAAAAACAAGAAGCCGTAAAGCTCACTCTAAAACAGCCGTGTAAACTAACATGCTTTTAAAATCAAATGGTTCTATTTGATTACCGAATTTTAATAAACCTTTTGCTTAAGAATTGCAATAACTAATGATTTTTTAAAATTTGCAGCATATTTCTAGAATAATTTATTTTTTATTGTTTTAATAAAAATCATTTCAGTGAATTTTGTTTTTTTATCCAGTGAAACTTGTTTTTTTTTTTTTTTTATTGCATACTCCCGAGACGACTTGAAATTGGTTTGATGTTTGCGGCTCGATGAATTTCCATCTGTTTTATACTTTCACGATAAGATCAACTCTATCTACATGATCAGCGCTATAAGTTAAACGTTGTGTCTAGCGCAACGGTACCGTTGCTTTAATTTTTATCTTTAAGTCACGGTAGTAAAGTTTAATTGGTTTATTTAAAGATTGGTTAATTTTGAAAGTTTTGTTTGTACAAATTTAAAAAAAATTGCAACTATAATGTGCATTTAGAATCGTGGTATCTCAATCGTTTATTACTCACGAAGTTCCGGGGTCGAGTCCTACATTCTGATTAATGTTTGTAATTGCTTTTTAACAATTTTTTTTTATTGAAAGTCACTCTTATTGATGTATATTGAAAGTTACATTTATTTTTATTATTTATAAACATTGACTGATTTAGGGATAGGCGCAGCGAGTGGACATACATCGACTGATTTAGGGATAGGTGCAGCGAGTGTACATACATCGACTGATTTCGGATAGGCGCAGTGAGTATACATACATCCACTGATTTAGGGATAGGCGCAGTGAGTGTGCATACATACACTGATTTAGGAATAGGCACAGTGAGTGTACATACATCAATTAAGGGTTTTGGTTTGGGCATGCATTCTTTAAATAAAAGAAAAAAAAAATAAACTAATCAGAAATCACTACCGTGACTTTAAGAAAAAAATTATAGCGACGGTACCGTTGCGCGAGCAACAGCGTAAATTAAAACACACGCACAAAAAAGAAATTTTTTTGTAGGCGTAAAAGGTATAAAATATTGTGTTTCTTTGAAAAGGCGTAACATACAAAATATAGTATTACCTTAAAACAATATTTAACTAAGTGCATAAAACAAATAAACAAAAGCAGTGTATGAATTTCATAATTTTTCTTAAATAAAATAAAGTTATACGAAAAATATATTTTTTATAATTTAAACATAAATTGACATAAAAATAAACTTTATTATGATACTATTATAATGATAATACTTTCTCTAATTCTTTATATACAATTAAAAATAATTTTTACATAATTATTACAAAAATTATTTTGCATAATAATTACAAAAATGCTAAATCTTTAACAAAAGTTACAAGCACTTACAAAAAGAAGGACGGGTGAAATGTGGAAATTTTAAAACGGTAAAATTCAGGAATAAAGTACTAAAAATTTTCCTTAACCTTAGCCATATCATTGCCTCAACCCAAAACCTCATAATTAATTTAAATCTATAGTTATCTTTGTATATTCTTTATTTAGATCTGTGAAAAACCAACATTTTGCGTTTGCGGATGGTAAGCAATAATGCCTCATTACTATGTCGCGTCATTATTACGTCACAATATTATTATGTATAAAATAAAATAATCAATTCAGCATATTTGATGTAAAAAAAAAGTATGACTTTTATTTATGTTTTTAAACCGAATTAATAAAATAGTCTAAATAAAATGAACATTTACAGTCTAAATAAAATGAACATTTAGCATTGTTTTGAGAACATTTTAGAAAATAAAAATTGTAACTGTTATTGTGATTTAATCTCCTCCAGCTAATGTCAAGTATGTTAGCGTATTCTATAAAAAGCTCAAAGAACAGCAGCCGTGTATTCACATCTCTCCGTTAAACGGAGAATTTGAGTGACCGTTAAGAAAAAAACTCTAAACGGCAGGTATAGCCGCCTAAAAGTACTCCCGCCGATAAATACTCCTGGAATATTTATTCCCTGGGATTATTTGTTTCCTAAGAAAAAAATACTCTCGGGAATACTTATTTTCTAGGAAATATATACCCCTCTAGGAAATAAGTACTCTTATATTTTTTTCAAAAAAACTGAATTTTAGCCAACGTTAACGCGTAACGCTGTTTACGATTTTTGATTTAAATTAGTAAATGGTAGATGTAACTTTATTTGATACAAAAATGGTTTTACAACATCTATAACTGTAAAGCATTTAATTGCAGCAACAATATTTACATTTTTGAACCCTTTTTCAAATAAAATATTTTAATAATATATTAAAATACTTCCAAAAAAATCTTTGGAAGATTATTTATTTATAGACTAAATCAAAACATTTGAGATGTACTATGATGACGTCGAACGAAGCATTTTCACTTTAAAGAGCTTTGAAGGGTTCTTAACGTTGTCTAAGGTGTAAGAACTGTAGAGGCTCTTCAAAGAACCGTTTGGAAGGGTTCTTTGGAAGAACCTTAAAATAAACCTCATTAGATAATCCGAAATAGTTTTCAGAAAACCTTTTAAAGCTCTTAAGGCGAGTTTCCACTCATCCGTTTTTCAACAGGAACGGGATAGGAAAGGAAAAAATAATAACGTGAGCATGCGTAATAAGAGTTTTTATTTGTCCGAAAGAAAACTGCGCATGCTCACGATCTTTACAAAACTTCAAAAACCGTAAAATTCTCCGAAAGAATCTTTCAGTTTTTTGAACCATTTAGAAACCGTTTTAATCTTTTATTTCTAATAAAAGCAGAGGTTTTATTCCTATTTGGAAATCTATTAAAATAAAATCTCATAAAACTAATCAAATTACTTAGAAATTACCTCTAAACACATGTTTTTTTGAATTTTAGTTTTTATTAAATATTTATATATAGCAAAAGCTTTTATATTTTTATACTTTTATATTAAGTTTAATAAATATTTGAAAATACTGTTTATTTCAAATTAGTTAGTTATTGTTAGTGACATATAAGTGACTTATTGTTTATTTCCAATTAGGTAATTAGTGGTTAGGCTAAATAAAATTGTAAACAACAACTTTCTTAAACACTTTCTCAAATTATATTATAAAGACAATATAGAAAAAAACTATTTTAACAAACAATTAAAATAACAAAAATATTTTCTTTCTAATTCAATACAATCTCTTTATCTTTAAGTGTAAAAAAAAAAAAAAATTGTGTCTAGGTAAACAATTCAATGTGTAATATATAAAAAGTTTTTCATGATTTTTTTGTTGCTTTATATAAGAAATACACATTAACCTTAGTTGA